CCCAGTTTAGCCTCCAGTTGCATCAGAGTCTCAAAAACATATTGTCGCATTTCATACATCTCAAGCCAGCCACTTGTTATTTTCGAACACGTGTATCACGTTAGGTCAATGGTAAGCATACAACTCTAATCAACCATTTGTGTTACGAACACGTGTCATACAACTCGCATTTGTGTTATTTAGGTCAATGGCAAGCATACAACTCAAATCAACCATTTGTGTTATTTACGAACACGTGTGTCACGTTAGGTCAATGGCAAGCATACAACTCAAATCAACCATTTGTGTTATTTACGAACACGTGTGTCACGTTAGGTCAATGGCAAGCATACAACTCAAATCAACCATTTGTGTTATTTACGAACACGTGTGTCACGTTAGGTCAATGGTAAGCATACAACTCAAATCAACCATTTGTGTTATTTACTAACAAGTGTTGCGTTAGGTCAATGGTAAGCATACAACTCAAATCAACCATTTGTGTTATTTACTAACAAGTGTGGCAAGTTAGGTCAATGGTAAGCATACAACTCAAATCAACCATTTGTGTTATTTACTAACAAGTGTGTCACGTTAGGTCAATGGTAAGCACACAACTCAAATCAACCATTTGTGTTATTTACTAACAAGTGTGTCACGTTAGGTCAATGGCAAGCATACAACTCAAATCAACCATTTGTGTTATTTACTAACAAGTGTGTCGCGTTAGGTCAATGGTAAGCACACAACTCAAATCAACCATTTTGTTATTTACTAACAAGTGTGTCACGTTAGGTCAATGGCAAGCATACAACTCAAATCAACCATTTGTGTTATTTACTAACAAGTGTGTCACGTTAGGTCAATGGTAAGCACACAACTCAAATCAACCATTTGTGTTATTTACTAACAAGTGTGTCGCGTTAGGTCAATGGTAAGCACACAACTCAAATCAACCATATGTGTTATTTACTAACAAGTGTGTCACGTTAGGTCAATGGCAAGCATACAACTCAAATCAACCATTTGTGTTATTTACTAACAAGTGTGTCACGTTAGGTCAATGGCAAGCATACAACTCAAATCAACCATTTGTGTTATTTACTAACAAGTGTGTCACGTTAGGTCAATGGTAAGCATACAACTCATATCAATTCTAGACTAACATATAGTTTCTGAAACGAACATATTTTACTGAAAAAAACAATCCCTAGTGTTAAATTCAATGAAAATACAATAAAAGGAATCCCAGAGACTTTTCCCTGAAACTGTTGTAATCTAGACTTGACACATATTCTAAACTTGTACGGGTTGCATGGGGTATTTTTGTTGAGGGTCTGTGTGATATACCAGCGTAACTCCTGCAACCAATAACATAAGCACAGGGGTTCGAATCACTGTTTGGGCAATAACTTTGAAGAATATAAATCTAGCTTTTTGCAACCGTACATTGTTTCTTATATATTATGAGTAACTTATATTTCAAATTGTGTCCCCGCCGTGATGTCCTCGAATATTGCTAAAAGCGGCGTAAAACCAAACTCAGTCAGTCAGTCAGAGTGTAGCGGGGAAATTTTCTAAAAAATCCATTTCTTCACCGATTTCGTTCAAATTTGAAATATAAGTTACTCATAACATATAAACACAATATGCGGTTGCAAAAATCTAGATTTTTATTTTTCAAAGTTATTGTCCAAACAGTGATTCGAACCCCAGTGATATAAGGGATAAACTGTCAGTGTTTCTGTCTCTGTGTCTGATCGTAGTTGACAGACTTACGGATCGCCCATCGTCTTCGCACTTGCAAGTTCCGCCACACATCCAGACCTCACACCCGACTCCCGTCTCCCCGACTCTCTTGGGTACAGATGGCCAGGATGTCATTGTCAGCGAGATAGTAGTCTATGTAGATCCGTTCAGTTGAAACAACGAAACATGATTATAGTCACAGCAACATTCTTTGAGTGAGCGAAAGAGTGTGGTTTAAGGAAGAGCCCATAATACAATATGCGCCCAGGTGAGCGAGTGAGTGAGTTAAGATTAAGGCCGTTTTTTAGCAAACTTTCAGCAGCATAACGAATGGAGACACCAGAAATGGGCTTCACACATTGTACCCATGTGGGAAATAGAACCCGGGACTTCTGCGTGACGAGCAAACGCTTTAACCCTTAGGCTACCCCACAGGATCCAGGAGAATCTTTGCGACTCTTGGCGAAGTTCAACGTTGTCAGTTTGGGAGGTGGAAGTGTAATGGCCTGGATGTGACCTCAGAACTCATGGGAGAACATAACTCTTCATTGTTGTCGGCAATATAGTGGCGTAGGCTACCGGGGCGATGTTGCATTGGCCGATGGAGGAATTGACGTGCTGTGACAGGATTTCACGGGCAGCATATCAGTGCCGTATTCTTAGGGTCGGCTGTTTCTCCAATAGTACAAGGGGCGGTGGGGTAAAAGCCTAGTGGTTTAAGCGTTGGCTCGTCACGCCGAAGACCCGGGTTCGATTCCCCACATGGGCACAATGTGTTAAGCCCATTTCTGGTGTCCCCCGCCGTGATATTGCTGGAATATTGCTAAAAGCGGCGTAAAACTAAACTCAGTCAGTCAGTCAGTCCAATAGTACATGCTGGGATGAGATGGACCGACGCCAACGACAGAACCAGAACCAACAGCTAGTGCTAGCTGGGTAGGGCCGATCTTTACCTGACATTTGTAATGACAATCCCCGGTTGTTTTCTATCATCTAGCAACTAGTGGCTTCAATGCATCGCCACTGCTTCCTGTGCAACGCTAATGTGTTGCCTCACTCTTGTACTTTTGTTAGGTTGAGCATCATCCGGTATTCGAACCCACTCTCAGAACCAGGCGTCTAATAGCCAGCCCCTAAGGTCAGCGATCTAACCCACTCAGCCACACAAACAAACATCGTTCTAAACATAAAACATAGGACTATTCCACAATGTGAATACTCACTGGTGGTCTGGAGTACGTGCATATAGCATGAGGAAACAGCTCGATGTCCTCCATAATGTAGTCGTCCCAAAATCAAATTGTCTCTTCTTATTCAATGCATCGCCTCCTAACAATCAAGTACATACACAGTTAGCATATGTCCAACATTTTTCAGCACTCACGGTGAGTCTTTCACAATGTCAGACTAAGTGTAATATTCCAAAACAGCCAACGAAGTTCCGTTCCGATAACTCTCTACCCTGTAAACAAGTGTCATTTAACTATCTTCTCGCCAGGTGTTACGTTTTTTCTCTACGAGACGCCCAGATTCATACGCACGTTGACCTCCCATTGACGTCGTGCGATGGGCCCTGAGAGAAACCAGGATAATCACTCGTTGAATTTATCGATCCCTACCACAGTATTTGAAGCAGACTGTACTAGTTTAAAACATAATAAACGTCGGGTAAACGGCTGGAGAGACACCAGGAAGTCCGGAAAGAGGAAATACGGTATTCACGTAACTAGATATGAGAGGACATGCGTTTACAATAAGGCACAGGTAGAAATGTTATGTTTCAGTGCAGGTGACCCGGTCGATTAAGCAAGAACAAGCCCCTGCAGTGGAGTTGCTATGGCAGGTTTTGACATGATCACCCAAGACACACGCAAGTCTGCAGTTGGAAGCTGGGTTTTGCATGATTCGACGTTTTACTACTTTCAGTAGGCGATTTAAACTGCTGCCCAGAAGTGCTTTTGAAGTCAAAACTCTCTATTATTTATTCCAAGTTTTGTGTTTGATTTTTCCATAAACAAATTGTACTTTTAACTATTTTCCAGGACATAGAGTTAGTCAAGGGTGCGATAATATCAGGTCCGTAAAACCTGAAAACAAATGAAATATTCCCAGTAGTTGGAGGGTATTTCGTGTCCAGAGAGGTAAAATTTGATTTTCCAGAGGCGGAAAGCAGTGAAAGTAAATCATTTCTGGAAGACAGGACATCAAGTATTCAAGGTTATCACCTCCAATGTAACTTGATCAAAGATCTGATCATGTCCAGAACGTGTATTATATTACGCAGATCACATTGAACATGACGGTAACTGAAATGTTGGAGGGGAGTAAATGGAAAGGAAAACATTTTCTGCATTGCTTAAGTGTTCAATGGGTTCGGATCGATGACACCATAGCTAGAATATTTCGACTTCACGATGGTGTCAATTTCGGATATGTCGAATGGAGTCAACGACAACCGTCCACGATATACATACATTTCAATTTCAGTCAGTCTAGTTAAAAGTCAATAGATTGTGTTTCGGAAATGTGTTGTGGTATCAGCGCAACGGACATGCACATTTTGTGATTCGTAGTTCGGGGAAAATACTGTCGTTTTGCTGTGTGAAGACCTGCTGGAACAGGAGACAGGCAAATACAAATCTGCGAAATGTTTTTTTTCCAGATATATATTTACAGGATTAATTCCGCTTTACAGACATTTTTAGAATAAATAACCCGAAACCTAAAGACCTATTATTCTGTAAAGAATTCAACTGCTCCAGCTTCAGGATTTTAAATAATTAGAATGATAACCATCAACTCTTGCATTACATCTTCTGTGATGATTCATGTTGATTCCACATTCACTGTACAAAGCTACGTTCACTGCACCCGTGCAGGTGCCCTCCAAGACTCTTCACGCATTCAATTCGACGATCGTACATCAGGAATCAAGGTTACTCGGGTGTTACCATTCCTGACGTTCTGGGTTAGAAATAGGTCTCCGGAACCGAAGTGTTGTTCCAAGTCCTGGGAACAGGTCTGATTCTGTTTCATTGTATTCGTTCAGACATTGGTTTGCCTGATTCAGGGTGACTATTCACACAGCAAAGTTAACTCACTCACTTTGAGCTGCTAGTTGAGATTTCCTTATACTTTCCAAACTACACAAGAGACCAATTCTGTCTCGGGGTTTTAACAAAACCTTCAAATCCAGGATCTTTGAACAATTGGAACTGAAAACAACCCAATCATTTTGTACAAAGTAAAATGAAAAGAAACACTTTGTCATGCTCATAGGAAATAAACAAAAGGACTTGTCTGTTTTATTTACAGAATAGGATAAAAGACAAGAACAGCCATCTCCCAAAGTTATGAGCTCTGCCACAGATACAAACACTGTCGAACTGTTGAGGAAGTGCTTGTCTGGGTACTCAGAGTGGTCACACAGGATCCAAGACAGTCATCACTTTTTTCAGAGCTATGTAAATAGTAATTTCCAGTTTAAAGCAATGAGTATGATCCTTTAAGAAATGCATGGAGAAATTAATTTGCAATTTCAAAAATATATACATGTATATACCAAGGAAAGGAAATGATGAAGTCGACCTAGCAGTTGAAGACAAGCTGAATGTTGTGACTGTTCTGATCCTATGTGTCCTACACATACGCCGAGCTGACATACAAGATGGCACTCTCGCAGATCAACAGAGACAGACAGGTAAAATCAAACAATATTGGCACTTCACGAGACTGACGCAGTTAAAATAAGATTGGCTTACAGTCATCAGAAATAGGTACATAAACATATGCTTCATATCCCTTCTACACTTTAGTACCCCTGAACATAACCTGTCGACATTAAAAGTTCCAGTGGCTGTGGGTATTCTCAAAGAAGAATGCATATGACAAATACCTACATCAGATGGCTGCAAATGTAGCTAAAAGTAGATTCGAGTGTTGATGCTGCAGGGCTGACAAGTTGAAGTCTAAATGTTCTGGAGGGATGTTAGCTGCCTTAGTCCACGACATGGGTGATCAGTGAGGACACATGAGACAACATTCTCAGAAATGACAACTATGACAATGGTCAGGCAATCCAAAATCATTAGAAGGGGTACATAAAACTCTTAAAATCATTTTGTCTAGAATGGAATGTACATGGTAGTCAAACTGCATCACTGCAGGAGTTAAAACAACATGCCTTTACACCAAAACGTCAAAGGTAGACGAAGAGCCATTACTGCAAGGAAGTTGTACAGACAAAATATTGTATGGTAATCATTTCAGTGCCGGTACAGGATTCTGAATACAGCTTAATTGTCAGAAGATGTACAAAACTGAAATGTTTATAATAAATTCCTAAAGACTCCTGAAAAGTGGAAAGTCACCTTAACACAGTCATGTCTCAATCAACCAATAATTATGACACAGGCCGTACAGGAAGGTAACAAAACACACCTGAGCACAGATGAAACAAAATGACAGGATGTGTCGTATTCAGCGAGCAACAAACATGCAAGTCAAACAGAACGAGACGGTGCAGCTCAAATATCATACAAATCCAAAAATTACACTTGTTAACAAATGCTTCAGGAGTTTCAACTACTTTACTGGCAAGATCCGGCATTCACAGGTCATAAGCCAGCTTGTAACAGGAAAGTCACTATCACTGTAATGGACGACTGTCCTCAGAAAACTGAAACACCTGTGAGTGTCAATCAAGATATCATATTGATTCAGATCTGTAGCCTTAAATAACACTTAACACCTGATTTGCACCACCAACCAAAACAGTTTCTGAAATCCCTTTAGCAACAGGTGGTCAAACTCAGGCCATATGGTTTGAAAATTACTTCTACCCCTTGACCTTAAAAAGGACGAAAATAGACTTTACCCCCTTACAAATTTAAATATTACAGATTACTCAAATTTAACATCTGTCTTACCAATATGATGAAACCCATTATTAACATCTGCACCTCTTTTGAAACAAGACACAATGGTACTTTGGTCTCAGTATCTACTTGTACAAATGGATACTTTCATTTGAGGAAAAGCTAAGCATAGGCAACTCTTCTGTTGAATTAAGATATTTGGGCTACCACAAGTTGTGAAGCTGCATCTGAACACTGACAAAAATAGATGATTTCGAATGGAGAGAGCACATGATGAAACATGTCATATTTTAATATCACAGTAATTTACCATGCTTTTCCATAAAATATGATGCAATAATGTAAGTCATCTAATGGTATAAAAGTTTCCAGTATAACAGGTTTATTAAAAATACAATTCAGTTATAATAATGATTTAAGCAATATGTACAACATCCAATGATAAAAGATGCCGAAACCATCGTCATGGAGAAATGAGGGGATGGTTTCAAAAGTTTGACCTTGACCCTGTTATTGCACTTGTTGGTCCAAATGGAAACAATCACTAGAGTTCAGTATTCCTACAAAACAGGTGCTTGAAAAGCCAGTGATTTGGGAACTGAGCATCACAATGTATCCATTTGGACTAAAATCATCTCAGTAGGGAAATCAAAGGCACAAACTTCTGACTAAAAACATTCTTAGTAATGTATGAATACCAGAATTAAAACTAAAATAAGTGTGATAATTGTACCCATGGCAACCACAGTAGGAGAGGGTGGCAAAGTACTAAGAATTCAGCTTCAATAGGACCTCGATCTTCACTACAGCAAGCACTCCTTTGTTTCGGACTAAAATTAGGTCAGATTTTCTGAGATTACAACTTCATCAAAATGTAAATAGTTCTAAATATCATAACAGAAGCTTCAGTTTCAGTTAAAACACTTAAAATATAACCAAAGAATCACAGCAAATCACATGTTCTTTGAAAAGCATAAATTCAACAAATGTAATTTCAGTTAGCTACCAGTTGTATGTTTATCAAGCTGTGAGTCCATCCCTTTGATCTGACCCTTTGTCAATGTTAAAACTACCCAGTTCATACTCTCAGCTCGGACATTGGTGCTTGCATATTCCCTTGTCACCAGATATCTTACACATCAAGGCAGGACCACATGGAAGGTGAACTTACAGTAAGCATAATTCAGGCTAAGAAGTTTCCTTTGCTTGTTTCTCAAGTTCAGTACTGGTACCATGCCATCAAGCACCAGGTGATAGATCTTTTCCCCCAAAATGTTCCTTGTAATGAGCAACTATGCTGGCTTTTGCCAACAAGTGACAAACAATTAAACAATCGATCTTCAGGTTGTGGACTGATAATTTGAAATGAAAGTTTAAATATTGTGGCAAATTATGCCAATTTACTAGAATTTACAAAAGACAAGTTCATTGTTAAATTTCGACAGACAAAAAAGATTATTCACAACATTTCAAATTTGCAAATGAATCATGATCATAATTAGTTGTCACAATCAAACAACTAGGATGGAAAGTCAACATATTTGTTTGGTAATACTGATTATCACAGATACTCATAATGGTAATGATCAATCTGGTGGCAAGGTTTAGGTGTGTTCACCTTTGTCCCATATATGGCAAAAATAACAAAGTGAAAGCATGCTGTTAAAATAAAATACTAACATAGCTGAATGAAAGACATTAATGGAGGAGAGTGTCTTCCTTGAATCCCTCTTCTAGTAACAGTATAAAACTCCAGAATTACATCTCACGTATGGATTCCACCTATCCTAGACACAAACCAATTACTTTAAAATTGTCGGCCAGTAAAACAAAACTCAACTTTTCTTCGTGAAAATAACCCTACAACTAAAAGCAGCTACAATCAAATTTTTCATGCATAAACAAAGCTATCTTTCCTTCACAGTATCACAAAGCTTAACTTGTTAAAATAGTTGCACTATATGAATCTCATATGCAAGTTGTATTTGTTCCTAACTTCATTCACTTGGTTATTCAGTAGTCAGAAAAAATTGCCAGTATGTAATCCACACTGAGATGATGGTTCGACATCCTTTCTTTATTACTTGGCTAAGGGATTTATTCCCATATGAAATGTTTGTGGTTGACGCAGATGAAATTAAATGAAGTCAAAAGTGTTTTTTGTAATCACTGAAACGGTTCAGTTCATTTGCTGTTTTCATTTTAATAGATATTAAGATTGGGGAGAAAAAAATAAAAGACTTATTTAAATCACGTATGTCCCAAAACCAAGTAATAAAAACTGGAATGCCTCGATGTGAATTAACATAGGATGAATGGTAATGGGCTACCAAAGTGAACACATTTGTCCTGCACCTCAAAGTACCCTGAGATGTTCCAAATGACGATGACAGCAAGCCCATGAACATCCTGATATAACCTAGTCCATGACAAAAGTGACAGAGAACAACATAGCCTTCGTATAGTGTATTGTCAGTGGTGGTATGACAGTAAGCAGATAAAAAATAAAAATAGGTATCACATTTCTGTACAGAGTACCAACGAAAAATGAACTGAAAGTTTTGGCATGACTATTCCTAGTCAATGAGCTTCAGAATTTAAAGGGCTTGCATCAGCTTCCTCTCAAGAAGATGTTCAAATGTGATCCATGGCTCATTCTAACTTTGGGAGATGGCTAAAACATAAGCACTTTGTTACAGGTGACTTGCCACCACCCCTTTATAAACAGCATCCCACCATCTTCTGGTGATGGCATATATCTGAAGCCTCGTCACCAAAGATGGACAGGACACTGTCCATGGAGACTATACAACAGTAGTAAGTCACCCATCATCTGAACCACCCACCAACCCTCCCTCCCTCCCTCATCCCATCTGATCCATCCATCCACCCACCCACCCGCAGACTGGTGTAGTCTCACTGATGTCACAGACTAGTGTGTTTAGTCATACCACCACTGACATGATTAAGCTAGTCCAGATCATGAAGTAGAAGCCTGCGTCATGGTCCCCCCTGAATCCTCCGCACTTGAAACTGGTGTTGAGTGAGAGTTTGGTGTAGAATTGTAGCTATTGTTCTCAAATGTTGAGGTACCATTCTGTACATATGATGTTCCCACTCCATATAAGTGACCGCAGTACTTGGCATCATCTATGTTGTCCTCAAAGAACATCTGTTAAGGAAGAAAGTATAGGCTGATGATATATTTGAGCGAGTGATATCTTGCTGTTACGCGACACAAAGCAATATTCCTGCCTCATCTTGACAACCTGCAAACAATTCAAGTCTGGGCCAAGCAAACTAGTGGTTGATGTTATGAACAAAGCCCAATGCCAACAAGGTTCAAAGACACAATCAGCAAAGTGAAAGGGTTAACTACTCAATGCCAAGGCTTTGAGTGTGGGAGAATGGTTCAATGATTTAGTCCGCATTTAAAAACACCTAAATAGTTGCAATCTAATAAATTATTGAGTTTCTAGGCACCCTGCATGACAAAGTTTCATGGAAAGGAAAACCACTTTGGGGGTTTCCATTTGGTTGATTTCCTAGGCTATCGACCGTTTGTCATTCAAAAGATAATGGGTGATAAAATCCTGAAAATACCTTAATGTTTTAGTCCTCCAGTAAGCTGACATAAAATCAGCTCAGTCAAACCTGTAATGATCACCTATCTAACTTCTAAGTCCTATTCATACCTAGCAGCCATTATAATCATGTAATATCCTTGCAAGAATGATGTACAGGTGACATACGCCAAATTCCAAGAAGGGACAACATGTTAGGAACACTCATCTTATTGATGCACAGATCTTTACATCTTTCACAGGACACAAAATTGGACCATTATGAAATACTGACTGACTGAGTTTGGTTTTATGCCGCTTTTAGCAATATTCCAGCAACATCACGGCGGGGAAAACGAGAAATGGGCTTCACACATTGTGCCCATGTGGGGATTCGAACCCGGGTTTTCGGCGTGACGAGCCAACGCTTTAACCACTAGGCTACCCCACCACCCCTTGCAATAATGAAGTACAGGTGACATACTCCAAATTCCAAGAAGGGACAACATATTAGGAACACTCATTTTATTGATGCACAGATCTTTACATCTTTCACAGGACACAAAATTTGACCATTATGAAAAAGATTTCTTACCTCTCTCATTTTGAAGAAAGAGGACCCAGTAAGTAAACTGTCACTCCCTGCCTGGTGCTGAGGTCCAACTCTCTGAATCTGGAGCCAACATCACAACTATTAGAAAGATGCACTTACAATGGTACTTCCAATCTCCTAATAACTGCTCAATGTACAGATGTCAAATCCAAACTGACAAAATTGAAGATTTAAAATGATATTGATAAATGGGATCAAAACTACAATAATTTTCCAAATCAAACTTAATCACCAGTAGCATGACAGACTGTAGAGCATTTTTTGCATGACATACATATCACCAATAATTCTCAAAATCTGCAACATGTTCCATCACAGAATAACAGAAGTGATTACTGTTTGTTGTATATGTAAATACAACCTGCAGTGAAGTAATTACCTTGCCGACTGGTTCTGAAACAGGGTCATAGAATCCTTTCTTAAAAGTAAGCTATCAGTTCATCAGATTATCCTGTCTTCAGTTTCACCAAATCGACATGATTTAATACCAATGACACATTATCCTCAACTATTTTAGCAGATCCATGCTCTGCAGTTACTTCCAGATTTTTCACTCACTTCAAGTTGATCTGCAACCTCTTGTAGTCCCCCTTTTTAGGTTCTTACAGCTTTTCATCAAGTACTTGATATCATAGATATTGGCAAAGTAAAGACGCAAAAGCTCAAAGAACTCAGACTCCTCCATGGGTAGATTGGAATTGGTAAGAATCTTCAGTAGGTAGCCAAAGTCAAAACCACTGAAACAAACAGAATGTTGGTCAGTTATAGCACTCTAAATATGTACATACTGCCACCATTATTCTTTTTAATAAATAAATTAAAGCCATGTGCTCAATTTTTAGAGTCGTAGATGAGCACAACATTTCCGCAAACACGTCTAATATTATAATGATTATCTTAGGCTACTTCTTAAACAATGTTTGATTATGTTGACATCAAAACGACTATCTTCTTCAGAATTATGAGGTAAACTTACCTGTGAAAGGACAACCATTTGATTTCATCCACGAGAACTACACCTGAAGTCATCAATAACTCAGCAAAGTCACCGACATCTATTCCATCTTGTTCATGTTTCTCGAACTGTATCCCAGATTTCCTCAGTAAATCGATAGACTCTTGGGCATACATGTCTTCCCTGTTGAAGGAAATACGACCATATCTTTAAGGACACGAAAGAAAGCTGCTCAATTTTCAACACCTAAAAGACTTTTCCCCATGATCATGATGATTACAGGTAGACGATAAAACAAATTACTGTCACCGTAAGTTATCACAAAAATCATGACCAGGGTTTGTTCAGTAAAAACTGGCACAATCATAAACAGAATTTTTACAAATTGACAGTTTTAGGTTCCAGGTTAACACCACATCATAGTACAAACATCAGCAAAATCATAACTATTTGATGATACCATGTGACAAGACAAGTGAGTCGACAAATAAATAGGGGGCGAAACACTACGCTCTTACCACGGTACGGTACATATTGTGGTACAAAGCTTTCGGTTCGGTCTGGTATATGAGATATGATCATAATGCAGAAAAGAAAAGAAACGCATAGATTTGGACAAAATGATTCTATTTCTAGACATTTTAGAAAAGGTTTAAAAAGGAGGATAAACAAAACCGAAAACACTGATTTATTGGATTGCTTTATGGTATACAGAACCACTTCTACTAATACTGTGGTATATCGTTTCAGCCCTACGAATAAATGAAAAGAAAAGAAAGCATGGTGACACGCAATGGATTTTTTGTTAACCACAAGACCACTTAGGCAGTTGAATTTGCCAAGAATCCAGCCATTGTCAGTGAGGACATGACAACATCTGAGCACAAGGTAATCAGTAAGTCACTCCTACTAACACACATGCATTGGGCCTGATTCAGAACCTCTACTGGGGCTATTGAGTATTATAGACTAAGTATCAAACTTACTGAAGATTAAATTTGAAGTTGAACTGCCATGTACAAGTATTTGGTGGCCTGTTTCCATCTTGATCCATAAACGTGAATCCAATTTGGATGATTTTAAGAAGATTAACATTACATCGAAGAAGTTGGTACTGATAGTCTGTGGTGCTGCGGAATTCCCCGATGGGTCTGGCAACAACACCAGGAAACTCTGTGTCCTGAAAAATAGTTTTGTTCACTTCACTTTCTGAATGATGGTAGGTGACGAATCCTATTCATAATCACTCAAGATTTAATACTGATTTAAGCTAACCTAATAACAATAATAATCATGACATTATCACATTTTCCACCTTGTGACTTCTTACCATGTCTGTGGCATTATGAGGTGAGGTGAAGTGAAATTGGGTTTAAGATAAGATAATTCTTTATTGTCCCAAGGGAAATTTGTTTTGCATCATACGTTCTCCAGTTTTTCAGGTTTAACGTCGTGCTTGAGAATATTTCGCTCATATGACGACGTGCATGCGTGTGTATGTGTATGTGCGGCTGCTTGTACTAGCCCAGACAGAGGCTGGTTTTATAGTGCTACCACTGAGATACCATGCCGCAGTGAAGCATGAATACCCCACTCAGACACATTATACTGACTCCGAGCCGACCAGTCCTTGTTGTACCCATTAATGCCGAGCGCCAGGCAGGCACCAACAAGCACCATATTTTAACGTCTTTAGGTATGACGCAGTCGGGGATCGAACCCGCGACCTTCCGCACTCCGGGCGGACTCTCAAACCACTACACCACGGGGCGGTCTATGGCATTATGAGCATGACTACCTTGTAAGAGATAAGACAAATGAATGGACGATGAGGATTCCGTAGTTTAAATACAGACTACTGAGAGACCAAATGATAGTAGACATAAAATAAAAGTATCTATAACCAAAGCATAAGTGTAGTGTAGTCAAGCTATGGGAACACTAAGCTGTGAAGTGTAAACTGATCTTTGATTACCGGGCGATGAAAAAACAATTCTTATTAATCTTAATCACTTCACTCAGGTGAAAGCAGATAATTTAAATGAGCTAGAACTTGAAAACAATAATTTCTTCAGCTTAACTCCAGGGTACATGGATAACCAAAGTTGGCTTGCCTAACAGAAATATTTCTTAGCTCTTAGCAATATTCCAGCAATATCACGACAGGGGACACGAGAAATGGGCTTCACACATTGTACCCATGTGGGGAATCGAACACGGGTGTTCGGCGTGACAAGTGAATGCTTTAACCACTTGTCTATCCCACCGCCCACTTTTAGCTAGATGCTCATGTCATTAACAGATCATTTAATGAAAGGAAGACAAAATTTGTCAAGCTGAACTCACCATAGCTACATATTTGTATTTCTGCACAATTTGTCGGATGTTCCTGAACTCCTCCTCCAGGTGTACTGCCCATACATCACGAATACCATACTCAGTCTGTGCTACCGACGGCATTCTCGCAACATACCTTGCTACCCAACCTTCACTCTCTCTAACCGCCTTACCGAGGTGGAATTGTGACTAGCAATCAGCTGTTGCAAGGTTTCTCTGAAACGAAACATCCTGCAAATATGATTTGATTCCACATGTTTCAGCTGGTGGACATGTTGGCAAGCAGACATATTGACATAGCCTCACTTTGAAACTCAAGGCACATGTAAACAGAATTGGTAATAACATATCTAAGAAAAAGTAGCTTTATGTCGCTTTCTAAAAATCTGAAATTGCGTGATTTCCAAAATCAGAAATACAGGTCTTGCAATGCTTCCTTGGTGAACTTATAAAACTATTTAATCGAATTCATGAAAACCAAATGATTAAGATAAGTTAATATACAGCCAGGAGTCGCTGCCAATTTCTTTTGACTTCGTCGATTGACAGTGATACGAAAACTTCTGGGATTTCGATATGGAGCACCATCAACTTTGAGCTGCATGAACAGGTGTATCGTTTTATGTTTTCATTCTTATAAATAGCATATCTGGTGTCATTTATTTATTAAAGAGATCATGGCTGCGCCCTTGTTTGTTATCTTACCCTTCCTGAGAGAGAAGTAAGAAGTTACAGACGTCAAAAGGTGATGGGACAATTTCCACCCAATTCTACATTTCTTTGTACTGGGTCCAGTTCTTTTCGTGCTATGGCCGTAGCGTCTGCGCACTGACTGATTAACATTTACTCACAACCATTCCCATTTATTCGTATTAAATACACATTGATCATTATTATTTATCATATAAAAGAATAGAATAAACTAAATAAATATGCACACTAATACTGCTTAATCTCTTTACAGATATAAGCACTGGTTTGTTCGATTTGACCAAAGTAAAATGTTTTTAATACGACATATAGTTTGTTTCTAAGAAAATAACATTTACTTTACAAATACCGGAAGTTGAAACTACACACATTACGATGACGTTTTATGATATCCGGGAATAGAAATATTGTCAGAATCGAAAATGAGTCAGCTGTGAACTGGATTTGTTGTACAAATTATAATTTATTGTCAGAAATACATATATCCTTTACAAAATGATGACTAGATTGTTTGGCGGAAAGGGCAAAAGTCCTCAAGCGACCAACCTTCAAACTCAAAGGACAAAACAGATCGAGTATGAAGAAAACAAACTTGAGGCAAGTGTTTATCCAAGTCAGGTTTGGGGTAAATATCAAAAGTGAAATAGTTTCGTGCCTTCACACGTAGAACAGAACATTTATGTTTAAATTTAATGATGATTTGTTTGTTTTTTACAGTGTGGTTGAAATTGTTCGTGACGTTGAATACAGGGCAACTATTTCCAACATGTCCAATGGGACAAACATCAATCTGATCATGTAAGTGTTCTGGTTCTTCCGAAAGAAATGAAATGTTGACCATATTACTTCAGCTTAATGATGGATCTACAATAAATGAAGACTCTCACTGACACAGGGAGCCAGAAATAGAAGATATGACACTGCATTTTAATTCTGTGATTTATTGGTGATTAATAATTGCAGTTTCCATCAAATGTATCCTTTGTACAACTCTATAATATTGGATTTGATAAAATAGTGAATTGACAATGTGCTGTCTATAAACTGTTTCTAATAGACATTGTTGAACAGCTTGCGTGAGATAAATAGGCGTCTGGGCATCTAAAACAGGAGTACAGTACATGGTATAATCCTGTTCAATGTATTTGAGATTAGCAGTGCTAATGTATGATCAGTACCTTCAGTTTAAAGTCAAGTTGACCGTAGCTGAATTAAAATTGGTGGTCATGTCCTGTCACTTGCCTCAGTGTACTCAAACAGTGCGATCATTACTCTTGCTGGTTAAACACCTTCTTTGGTTGGAAGACTGCATTCACCATGTGCACTGTAACACAAGGGTTTGGGTGGCAGACATGTCTGTTGAATTATGATCCACTTTCAATATGAATTTTTGCCATTCTTTATGTGAACAAAGGGATGTGATTCTAAGACAGAATATCATGATTTTAATTAATGATGAGTGAGGAGAGTTTGATAACCCTTTGACAATATTGTATGGGACATAAGCGCTTTGAGCATGCACTACTGCGTGGATATGTTCGCTATATAAATATGCTATAATAATAAGCAATGGTCTTCACTCATGCTGATTGTATCAAAGTGGTTAACATATTGTTTAGCATGAAGACACATTGTCTTTTTTAAATCATGTTTTTTTTGTAGCACTCTGTCTCCCCAGTTTCCCCAGGACAAGCCAGTCGTGACAGTTCAACCTCCTCTCACCCATCCCTGGGTGGACATACACATGAAAGTTGTTGGCTGCCCGAACATAAATAATGTACGTATCTCCTCATTACTTACTCATAGTCATATTCCTTTTACGCAATGACATTTGGAAATAAATTTTCATGTTTAACTGTTGATAATTTAAATGTGGAAATTGAAAGTGCAGAGTAATAAATCTGGGAATTTCTGTTCAATTGTAATGATTTTTAATACAGTTCACATTAAAAACATTTATAGTGTGCATAATCTCAACCTCAGCTGGAAGCTTTTTGTGTTAGTGAAACAGGAGATTTAGATGATTTTCAATGATGAACTGGTTTTGTTTAGTTCTCCATGCACTCGGACCTTGGCGTTGCAATTCAGACCATAGTAGAAGAGTTTAAGAAGACACCCCCAAGGATTTTACCTCACCTGTAAGAATGAAAGACTCAATTGTGTCACTATATATATGTAGAGAATGTCATCCTTGTATGTTTTGATATCAAGGATGTCAACACACAAGTTTATAAAAGTTGTAAAGCTCTGATACTTCAGGGGTTGCCTTATTTCTCAACAATTGTTATATATTTACATCAAGTAACATGAGTGTGCCATTATATTACCCATTGTCATTCTGAATAAATAATTGTAAAGACAATGCTTTTGTGTGATGATAGTATAAGGTCATCTTGAAATTTATGAGTGTATCACAGTGCATTAAAGGATTAAATGTTTTTCTTTAACTTGGTTGAATCTTTGCAGGCATACCCACGATAAATACTTTTATCACTTTAAATATGCAAAGGAAATATGCTTCAGAGTTGGTCAGCAGTTTGGAGCCCCTCAACCCCCAGTGGCGCCAGTGACCGGTCCAGGTTACCCCTTGTATGGGAATCCACAAGCTCTGTATCCCCCAGTGGGACCCCCACCTCTACCCCCAAGGGGAGCAGTAGAAAATGGAAGGGAAGGCCCACCAGTTTTATCTGATCAGGATGCTGTAAGTCTTTTGCTTTTTGGGAAGGATCCTGTCAGTTCTGCATGGTACTTTGATGGTTTGTGTCATGATAGTGATTACAGACTGATTATGAATCAGTTTTTGTGTCATTGAAAGATATAAAATATCTGTGTAGAAAGGAGAACTCTGTAGACAATATGGGGCAAGAAGTAGCCTGGCGTTAACCTATCAGGGATTCAAGTTGAATTCCCCACACAGGTACAATGTGTGAAGCATATTCTTTGTGTCACCCTATCTGGCTGGAATGATAGTAAAATCACAAAGAAATATACCCACATCACTACCTCACTGAACATATTGATGAATGTTCCAGAATGCCTCAAGTCCAGCATACCCTATTCCAGACATCATGAAAGCTTATCCTGAACTGAAGGACAAAGGGTAAGATTTGTGTTTGTATTGGGCCGGTGAAGATCCGGGTTAGAATTGATCTTCAGTAACCTGTGCTTGTCGTGAGAGGCAACTAATGGGATCGGGTGGTCAGGTTCGCTGACCTGGTTGACACATGTCATCGTATCCCAATTGTGTAGAACAATGCTCATGATGTTGATCACTGGATTGTCTGGTCCAGACTCGATTATTTACAGATTGCCACCATATAGCTGGAATATTGCTGAATGCGGCATAAAACTAAACTCACTCACTCACTATACCTTGTCAGTGTTTTGTTTTCAGATTGTTTGAGCTGCAGGAGCTAGTTGATAACGAGGAAAAAGTGCTGGACTTATTGCAGGGTCTTCCTGAGCTGGCAAGGTTCACTCAAGATAGGGAGGATATTTCAGCTCAGTGTGTGCAGCTTGCAAGTAGGTCACATGTCATCATCATCATCATCATCATCATCATCATCATCAGATGATGATGATGATGATCAAACAACATGTCATCATGTTGAAATTAGAAGATAAACATTCTGTGTTTTCAGATTTGTGTTTATGTACTTAATGCCATGAATTTCAAATTTCTGTTTATAATGTTACAAATTTTGCAATGCTGTAAATTCAAGAAGTAGTGAAATTGTGATATTTTGAATAGCTTTTTATGTTCTCGTGACAAATATACCAGCCAGAGAAAAATCGTCATGAGTACAATAAATAATGGAAATATTGGCATTCCAAGGTATAATAGGTTTCCAGGACAACATGCTTCTTGTACGAGACACTTGCAATAGGGAACTGGGGATGAATGGTTGATGTTGTATCACAGACGTCAAAAATAAGACATTCAGTAGTATTTTCAGAAAGCATGAGGCTACCGATTTTTTGTTCATTCTTTGCGTAATCAAATAGCATGAAAAAAAATCTATGTAATGGCATTTAAGTGTGTTTTGAATCAGTGTATATCAATAGGATTCAGATTGTTCTCAGAGACTGAGCCAAAGTCTGGATGGTACAGGTAATACATAACCTTCTTTTAGGTTAAAAATGCTAAAAAGTTTGAAGGAAACTTAGTTGTGATGTTGATCATTGTTTCAGGAGAAAACCTCACCAAACAACCGATTGTAGAAGAACTGAAGGATTCCGTCTTGAAGAAGGTCAGATAATCAAGTACAATATTGTAAATGTTATGATCGTTTATGAAATGTGAGCATTACTCTCTTTAGCTCAACTCAAGTGTCTAAGATAGCTGAAAAAGTTACAGAGGGATATCTGTTGATTTATTATTCGATTAACTTGCTTGATCAGAGATGGATGGATGGATGGGTGGGTGGATGGGTGAATGGATGGATGGATTGATTTGGATGAGTGGGTGGGTGAATGGAAGATGGGTGGATGGATGGAAGATGGATGGGTGGGTGGGGATGGAGGAATGGGTGGAGAGGTGGATGGATTTTGATGGGTGGGTGGATGGAAGATGAATGGAGGGAGGGATAGATGGATGGATGGTTTGGTGGGTGAATTGAAAGGATGGATGGTTTTGGATGGGTGAATGGATGGATGGAGAGATTTGGATGGATGGATGGTTGATAACAAAAGCAAAGTTATATGTTTTGTCCTTCTAGATTGTAATTGTCTTTGTTTACACTTCAGATGTCGGAGCTGGATGCCATCAAGGGAGAGTTTGAGACTCACTGTGAGCACCACCTGACCCTGTCTGACCAGTTCCATCCGGCCAACATTCAAACAAATCTCAAAGTCGCTGTAATGGAAGCTGAGGAGGAGTCAGAGAAAATAGCAGACGACTTCCTTGATAGTGAGTATCTTGTATTCCTGGATAGTGAGTATGTTGTATTCCTGGATAGTGAGTATGTTGTACATGTATTCCTGGATAGTGAGTATGTTGTATTCCTGGATAGTGAGTATCTTGTTTTCCTGGATAGTGAGTACATGTATTCCTGGATAGTGAGTATCTTGTATTCCTGAATAGTGAGTACCTTGTACATGTATTCCTGGATAGTGAGTACCTTGTACATGTATTCCTGGATAGTGAGTATCTTGTACATGTATTCCTGGATAGTGAGTATCTTGTACATGTATTCCTGGATAGTGAGTATGTTGTATTCCTGGAGTGAGTATCTTGTTTTCCTGAGTATGTATTCTGGAAAGTGTATCTTTTTCCTGGAGTAGTACCTTGTACATGTATTCCTGGATACTGAGTACCTTGTACATGTATTCCTGGATAGTACCTTGTACATGTATTCCTGATAGTGAATACCTTGTACATGTATTCCTGGATAGTGAGTACCTTGTACATGTATTCCTGGATAGTGAGTACCTTGTACATGTATTCCTGGATAGTGAGTACCTTGTACATGTATTCCTGGATATTGAGTACCTTGTACATGTATTCCTGGATAGTGAGTACCTTGTACATGTATTCCCTTGTACCTTGTACATGTGAGTGAGTACCTTGTACATGTATTCCTGGATAGTGAGTACCTTGTACATGTATTCCTGGATAGTGAGTACCTTGTACATGTATTCCTGGATATTGAGTACCTTGTACATGTATTCCTGGATAGTGAGTACCTTGTACATGTATTCCTGGATATTGAGTACAGTCGTGTCCCGTTTATCCGAACCTCAGATATCCTGAAAAATCGCCTTCCATACGAAAATTCCTCAAAACGAATTCACAATGTTGTAAAATTACTCACTTATCTCGAAATCCAGTTTTTCCGGAACCGGACGGTCATTTTCACATACAAAACGCTAAATTATATGCATTTTTTTCTTGTATATCCGGATGGCTGAGAACCTGTCAGTATGTTTTCACACGCATTTTACTGAGTGGCCTTGCGTGCCCTAACATAAAAGAAGTCGGCAGTCTATGAAGCGTGAGAGAATTAACTACGTGTAATTAGCAAGGTGACACTGAGTTAAGATTGAGTTGTGATTGGCAAGGCTAGACGTCCCCGTTGTTTTGGTTGTGACTTTAATCTGGAAGTTTATGTTGGGTACAGTAACAATGCAAACGCGAGGATGACATCAGAACGGTTTAGTGATTGGTTGCTAGCTAGCATTTGACAGACATGCATGTACAGGTATGTTCGCAGGTATACATGTACAGGTATACATGTTATTGACTTGACTACTTTATTTGACAAGATGTGATTTTATGTATGGATTGTTATTTGTTGATGTCTTATCAATAAAGATTACGTCTGAGGTCTATTATGTTCGTTTCTTTGTATGTCTTTTTTACATATGCTCAGTGGTTCAGATATCGGGAGGGGCGGTGGGGTAGCCTAGTGGTTAAAGCGTTGGCTCGTCATGCCGTAGACCCGGGTTCGAATCCCCACATGGGTACAATGTGTGAAGCCCATTTCTGGTGTCCCCCGCTGCGATGTTGCTGGAATATTGCTAAAAGCGGCGTAAAACCAAACTCAGTCAGTCAGTCAGATATACGGAAATTCGCTTATCCGGACAATTTCAAGAAAAACTCAACGGTCCGGATAAACAGGGCATGACTGTATCTTGTATTCCTGGATAGTGAGTATCTTGTACTGGAAGTTGGACATCATTGGCTGATTTCATGGATTATGATTTTTTTTTAACTTCCTATCTCACGTAGTGCACTTACTCTTGTTGTTCGGCCTCAGAGTGGAAATGACCTTGGCAATACTTTCCAGCCACTAGTATCACCTTGACCGAGCACACCCTGACCCAGCTAATGCTGTAGGCAGTCACAAGAAGTCTGTGCTAAACATGTGTCAAGATGATCTTAGAGGCTGGAAAGTTTCGTCAAAGTTATTTCCACTCCATGGTTGAAGAACAAAGAAAAAGGTACTACTTGAAACAGGATGAGGATTATGAATATACAATATATTAAAATTTATGATCTGTTGCTCTGTACAAATCCCCAAAATTTGGACTTGTAATGAAATTGATAATTGATGTTGATTGTAGCCTATTGGATTTTTTTTTTTTCCCAGAAAAAATCGACATTGAAGAATTCCTGCAAACATACATGCAGAAAAGAACTGTGAGTTAATTTCTTCATCTTGTCATGCTGATTCCAATGTTTTGTATCAGCACTCAAGGATTGTTTGTTTTTAATATTGTATGAGAAACCAACTATATTTGTGAAAGGTCTCAACTTCTGTAATTCCTAATAGTTCTCAAATTGCTCATGAATTTAGAACTTGCGAAATCACAATTATAATAGATCTTGACAATTCCTCTCTGCATCAACACCTGACTGTCACCCAATAGATGTAGGTCTTTGGTATGTAGTATGTACTTCAGTACTCAAGCACAGGTCAGAGATTGAGTGGAGTACCCTACCAAGGGAGATAACTCACATCACTTCCCTTCAGTCCATGGCATTGACATGTGTAACAAGCAGAACTGTGCCAGGACACATTTTGACACTTTCTAAATTAAGGAACAAGTTTTTCATCCAGTGTCAACAAAGACCTGACAAATATTTCCTTGATTCCTTTCGTGTGTAGAACACAGGCAACAGTAATCAGACAGATGGTTCTCTAAATATTTTACCGGTACTTCTCTTTATTGGAGTTTAGAGGCCTGGACCTGGTTAGCTGATTTGAAAACTTTACCTGATGCGAGCTAGTTTGCATTTTGTGTCAGATCGTGATGCAAAGAGGTAGTATTTAGGGGTTGATGAAATTGCAGAAGATAGTTTCACATGTTGACCCATACTTGTCTTGTCCACAGTTGTGTCACATGAGGAAAGCCAAAGAAGAGAAGCTGAACCAGATCATCATGGCCTCCGGTGGATCACAATACTGACACAATAATAACTTTGATGTGTTTTAAAGACCTGGAACCAGATACAATGAATGTATATACTGTTACCAATGTATATGTATGTATATCTACTTCAAGTTCACTCATAGACCACTCTCCATAGGATTAGACATATATTTGAAGGTGACTGAAGGCCCTGAATCTGGATACAATGAATGGATGTATACCTTAAGGTGTCTTGAACCCTACCTCTGGATATCGAATGTGAGTGTGACTTCATTGTGAGTAGTAAGGAATACCAAGACAGAACTCCTAGCATTAGGAATCCCAGCATTGTTGTATAACATGAAATCCTGTTAAACAGGGTATCCTTATCATCATGAATCAGCCAGATTAATAGATTTCATGACTAGTGAATTATATGTACGCAGTAATGTCCCTTTAATGGTATATTACCATTGCCAACAGAAATTGTCCAGATTGTGGGGTTTCAGGGTCAGGACTTTGAAGTTTTCCATGAATATGTATCTTTCAAGGCAGGACACATGCTTGTCTCACAATCCCACAATTTAGACACAATGAATTCCTCCCCTTTTCACAGACTTGCTCTGCCATGTTGAAAGCACAAACATTGAGAGTGCTTGAACTGTACATTCCCACCGCTTTGGTCTGAGAATATTTTGGTTACATGTTCATGCATGCTGAAATCAGTCACTCACATCATAAAGCACTGCCTGAACACAAGTTGCACACACTGTGATACATGCCCAACCTGTTGGGTAGTTTTTATAGCCTAGGTAGATGGTCATATTTAGGGAATACTCTTCTCAGAATCAGTTCAAGTCTGGGAAATGATGTGAAGATATGCCAGAAAGGACTGCTCTACATTATAATCTGGTCTTTCCATAATATTAGATGTGTACAGTTTTGATCTTTTTGTCATGTTTGTGACTCCCTTGAAAGTGGAAGAGTACTGAAAAGTATTTAGGCCAGGGATACCGCCACATGTTTTAGTTGCAAGTATCTGAAAGATGTTTTTAATCAACCAAAATGATGTTGAAGCCTTCTGGTTCTGTAAGACGAGAGTCAGAATTTGAGGTGCATTTATCACGCTTCTTTTCGCAAGAGTCCAACAATGTGACCATAGGAGGAGAAGCTTCTGACACTGCAGTCACTTCACGTTGTTACATCAACACAGTGTATCTTTTGTAGACTAGCTTATGCTTGAAACCTTGGTTCAATTCGTAACATGGGTTTGATATATACCGGTATGTAAAACCAATCTTATCCTCCAATCTTAAATCATGTCTTTTATTCAGATTTGATACCTCTCTTTTTCAGCAAGAGAAGGTATCAAATTAGAGTATGTAATCTGATTTTATGAGTTGTGCTGTGCCTAGTATTGACATTGCTGAAGTTGAAACACTCCTCAAGAACTATGAACAGATTTGAACAGAATGATTTGCAGTGTTCATGATGATATCAAGGAGGAAATATTTCTTAGTGATGTGTGAACGAGTTGTTTGGTTATCAGTGAATGAATAGCATGATCATGGGAAGAAACATGTGAAAATGTTCAAAGTATGTTGTCATATAACCATGACAATAGTGTTGTGTTTATACAAATACTGATCAACATCAAAACGAGTTAAAATCAAACATAAGCTTGCTAATGTCTAAAGGGGAGAGCTAATAATATCCTCAAATAGGAGCATTATATTACTGTTCATGCATGTGCCAATCTTAAAGTTTTGATGTGGAGGACAAGAATCAAATTAGTTTATTTTTTGGTTTGATGCTTGGCGATTATTATATGCTCTTGAGCCAGGAATTTCCTATATAATATGAGGTTTTCACAGGATTTCCCTCTTTCCCCTCTCTATACTACAGGCCACAGTAGGTTAATGGTTAGATTTTCATGCAACTTTTAAAATATGTGAGGGGAGAGACAATTTTTAGTTTTTGTATGATTGTTTCAAACAGTTTGTTCAAGGTGTTCACGTGAATCTGATGGTGAAATGTTGATAAGGGCTATACGTAATACAGGGTATTGTGTATTTCATCCTGTGAGAGGGGGCACACATCATGGTATTCTCAGTGCTTCAGCCAGGCAAGTGCCATTGCGCCATTCACACTAAAAAATATGCAATGGCACTTTTTTTCAATGCTAGAGCGTACCCTTTGGCGCAACACTTAATATAATCCACAGGTCTTCTATACCATGGTTACCATGAATGGCAAAAGTCTCAACTGCATTGGCACACATTTTAGTAGTTAAGGTGCCAATTGGCTGAAGCACTGTATTCTGCATCAGTTGGTCCTGGGAATGACTAATGATATACGCCACAGAGATAGATAATTGTAAAACTAACATCAGTCGATTATCGAGAGGTATTTGAAGTAGAACTAAGCAATAATGCAAACAAAGTCTGAAATAATCGGAAAATTTCACGTCACTACTGAGCTGTCAGCTGCTTTATGTGTTACTAACAATAAGAGCAGCTTTCTGAACATAATATACAAGTGGCCAATGAATAAAGATGCCATTTGTGTATTGGGTGTATAAATTGAAAATTTCATCACAATAAGAAAGTTCTTATTACACAATTTTAGTATCGATAACTGTGAATTATTGTGATACAATTTCCAAGTACAGGTCTTTTTCGCAAAATGGACCTTTAAAGACAACAAAATGAATCGGGTGGGGTGGGGTGGTTATAATCTGATGATTAATGTATTATGGCCTTGTGATGAGTTGTTGAAATAATGTTGATTTAACAACCTCGCCAAATCTGGCATGTTTCATCCTCTCAAGGTGCCAAACACGCATATTTCTGAAACTTTATCTTAATGTTTCTTTTCCTCTAGCATGAATATATATAGTCTTGAATGATAAAATCAAATTGTGTCACTGTATATACTATGTACTGTGTATGTATTGAGTGTATTTGGTGCATGTGATGTATCATGAATATGTATATATCTGTGTTTGTGGAAAGTTTTGTAAGCTTGTCTGTGATCTTCAGCATTCCATAGTCAGGCTTGTATCTATCACTGCAGTATTAGCGTATTGTGTTGGGTGCCAACATATGTTGTATTGTAGCCTGATTACACCATTATCAACTGTAGATTCTACAGTGTTGTATGCCATATAGCACAACGTGTGTAAAGCTATCCAAGTTCACTGAGATGGTTATAACTCAAGACCTTTTTCCATGAAGAGATGTTAGCAGAGAGATGATCGTAACTCCCATAGACACTCTAGTCATTACGATTTGTTTGCTTTGTGGTACGGACGAAGGACGTGTGAATAGCATTATAATTCCCTGCGCAAAGTAGTGCATTAGGGCCCCTTCCTGTACAGCCACAACATACATAAATTAGCATTGGGTCCCTATGGTGGTGGGGCTTCTGGACAACTGCCCAGCGTGCCCATGAGTTATGACGACCTTGGTACAGTGAGTATGGTTTTATGCCGCTTTTAGCAATATTCCAGCAATATCACGGCAGGCAACACTGGAAATGGGTTTTTCATATTGTACCCATGTGGGGAATCGAACCTGGGTCTTCGGTGTGACGTGTGAATGCTTTAACCACTAGGCTACCCCACCTTGGTACAGACCCCCAGGTAGCTGCATAAACCACCTGTGCTGCTCCTTATAAACAATATATACAGCAGAGCCTTGTTCACAAAGTGATCGTAGTAGTACGATTGTCGTAAGCCTATGTTAAAGTGTGGAAGTTACGATTTTCATAGAACTACGATCGCTTTGTGGAACGGGGCCCAGGACTGGTTCTTTCTGTTTACCCTCAGGGTTCCACACTGTAGGTTATTTCCGTTGTAGTCTTAACATTGAGTATGTGACTTATGATTGTCTAACATTAAGATTACTTTGTGGAATGGGGTCCTCACCTCACTTGGGCCTATTCAGTGATCACACAATTTGTGGGATTATTATACATGACCAGAGCTCAGTTCCATGTTTGTTGGGAGCATGATGGCCTAGTTGTCTAAAATGCTGCAAGTTGCTGTTCTGAGTTAGCTTCCCTTAATTCTAACATGGTGGGTTTGAATCCTATAGGCAAGCTCTGATTATGTTTCTAGGTTTGTCTGCTCCATACCCATACTCCAGGGCTCCACATTCACGCTATCCCACTGGCCCGGGGCTAGTAAAATGTTGACAGGACCAGTGCAACTTTGATAAGTGCTATCCCAACGGTCTAGTAGATATTTACCAACGGTCTAGTAGATATTTAAGGCTGTCAATAGGAGTCCCTTAGCAGGACCAGTCAGAATCTGTAAAGACCAGTGATTTTTTAAAAGTTACTGGTCCTGTGGTCTTGTTCGGGAATTTGGGTGAATGTCAAGCCCTGATACTCATGTGTTTCATCAACGTGGAGAATCACCTAAGATGAGCATCACTCCAAGCTTTCCAACCACATTAGATGCAATGCCGTGATATGACAGAAATGCTGTGTGATACCCAAACAAACTCTCTCAATCATGGTTAGAAATGGTTTTCAGATTCCCATGCTTTTCTTAAGGCGTCACTTACAAGATCGAGTGGCAAAGTCTTGGTGCAAGTCATGTACATCATCAACTAATTTGGATGGTAGTGATGGTTGTATCATTTGTTTGTTTGTTGTTTAACACCGCACTCAGCAATATTCCAGCTATATGGCGTCAGTCTGTAAATACACGAGTCTGGACCAGACAATCTAGTGATGAACAATATGAACATCAATCTACACCATTGGGGTATGATAACGTGTTAACCAAGTCACCAAGCCACACCACCCAATTCAATTAGTCGCCTCTTACAGCAAGCGTGGGTTGCCGAAAATCAAATTTAACCTGGATCTTCATGGGTTGATGGTTGTATCAGATGTTTTAGATCATGTGATGGGGAATTATATCTGCAGCTCCTGCTTCAGTCAGGCATGAAGTTTGACAGCCTTGATTTACCAGAGGTCATGTTATGAGAGACCACTTCGAAGGTGTAATTCACGGACACATTTCTTGTATTTTAATCAAATTCAACAATGACTGTGTTGAATAGTTATGGTTTTAGTAATAAATGTTCCTTGATCTTATCTGGTATGCATAATTGTGACCTTGATAATCCACAGATGTGTCCGAAATGTTTTTGTAGAGGGTCAGGTCTGAGCAGTAAGCCGGATGAACTCGCAAATGTTCATTGTGTTATGTGTGAATAGGCCATGAAAACAGACAAAATATGGATCATGAAAATACACAAAATATGGATCATGAAAATACACAAAATATGGATCATGAAAATATGAAATATGGATAATGAAAATACACAAAATATGGACTGTGAAAAATGACAAAATATATATTAATATAGTAATAAATAATATCTGATTTGGGGGTGTTTGAAGCAGATTACTGCACTCATGCTTCTCACATGAAATTTATCATTAAATGTGCCAATACAAGTTAATACAAGCTTGTAACAATTTGTACAGACACAGTAACAAGTAGACGAGTGGCGAAAGTCATGAAGCACTACTCGCTTTATTCACAAATTTACATGAATAACTTGTCCCAAATGAACATCTGACTCATTGGTTTCTACTCAAGGTGTCTACCCAAAACTAACCTAAACAACAGACATGCTGTCTTTTCTTTTGACTCGCTGTTATTTACAAATGTACTTTGATATATTCCCATTCTGTTTATGTACCTCCATAAATCAGTCAGTGTAGCCATCTTGGCATATCCAGGGAACCAGGCTGCTGCATAAGCATTATAAATATTGCAGCCGATATTTGTAAGTGAATGTATCAGTGACAACTCCATACACTGCCTCTGTGGGGGATGGGTACAAAGAGCGGGATGGGTGAAATGTGAGTCTGGATGACCGGACATTTTTAACATCATAAACTTTAATCAGATGTATCAGATGCATGTACAAAGAGACTTCTATGTTCTCTGCTGACACATAAAGAGTCACTTGTGTTTGATCAGTTCAAGAGACAGGATAGGTAAAAAAGTGGGTTTGGATGACCAGGGCTCCAGATAAATTTTCAAGATCAGAAGTACGTACTCCTTACTTTTTCAATGCAGGAGTACTGGAAAACCTTAAGAGTACATTTAGAGTACTTAAAGGAATTTAATGGAGTACCAGTAATCTTGTGTTTCGTTTCATATATGCACAACATTGCTTCTCTTGTGTAAACAGGTCAATAACAATAAAACAATACTTTTTCAGATAAATACGTCTGTAAATGATTCCAAGACCGTACACCATTGCTGTAGTGCGTATCTGCTACGTTTTCTAAATTATTTCCTACCATATCGTCTCGTCAAGATATGGCTGAGAGATTGCCGATGTGACGTTAAATAATAACTCACTCACTCACTCCTACCGTATCGTGCACATTTTATATCCGTACAAACACTGATACGGCCCTTATCTGGAGCCCTGGATGACTTACATCTCTGGTAAGCTGCAGTTTTCAACCTCCTAAATATGCTGGAATTTTTTTATTGTCTCTATTCATACATGTAACCGATTGTTTGGAGGCTTTTAAATATAAGGATACTCATGTCTGTCAGTCTTAGAACTTGAATCCTAACAGTAGAGTGTTGATGATTTTCTTAGTCATTCTTACAACATGGAAAGGGACAAACCATTTCTAGATGTGTATATTGGAGGGGATGTTTGAATATTTTCTTTTTTTTTAAAAAAAGTTTCAACTGGTGTGGTCTGGGTTACCAACTACAACATGCAGATTCTTTCATATTACTATATTAAATAATGTCATAGCATGGCAGATTAAATAGAGCAATATGAAAGAATTGTATGTTCTCTTCAGTGGTATGTGAATTAACTTTCGTTTTTTGTGTGAATCTCATCCGTTTCAAGTTGTAATCACAGTTGCCAAAACAATGACCTATTATCATGACTTTTTCATAAATGACTTTCATTATCATCATATTGATATACATGTTAGGAAGTACCTTAGTCCATATAATGAGCTGAATCAGATGGGTTTTTTAACTTTGTGTATACTTTGAACTGGTTCAAGTAGATAACTGTTGTTTACTTGTAATTTTGCACATTGGTTTAGTTGGTGCAATCAGTTTTATAGGTGCTGCATGAGTTGTGATTTATCATGTGTTTATGTCAGAGCAGTTTATTTCTATTTATGTAATTCAATGGTGACAAAGGAGTCGTTTTGTGTTTTCCTGTATGAGCTAACCTGGCTTAACACATTTTAATGACAGCCTTCACTTGTTGTCTTTTCAGTCAGCTTTTCACATTTGTCTTAGTCTTTTTTTAATGTATACATGGTTATAGAATTTTCCCCTAATGTTATTAATTTTTTAATGTAGGATGTAAAATAGGAGAAAGTGAGGAAGTGGTGTTTTGTAACGAGAAGTTAAAGGCACAATGTCACACATTTTCGACAATATTTTGGCATATATGATTTATATTGGACATATGCACTCTCTTTAGCTTCCTATTGATGCAATAAAAGACTTGTCCTTTATAACTTGCCTGAAATCGATTATTGAAACTTCGAGGCGAACAGCTTCCAAACAGAGAACACTTGCCATATATGGAATGTAAATAATTGCTCCGTACATTGAAAACCGTCGCACGCAGTGTTGTCGGTGTTTGCCGAACTGGTTTCAATCACAAGTTGTGCGTAGGATATTCGTAAAGAGCGATCCAAGGGATATAACTCTATGGGGTTCAGTTGAAATAATGTTCGGCCGGTAGAGGGCGCAAGAGTCGATTTAATGCAATGTTGGATTAATTCATTCAAACCTTTTAATTTAATACTGTAATCTAAATACATATTTGTTTTGGGATTAAATTATATGGTAGCCACCCTGAGGGCCAATAGTATTATTGAGAGAAATGCATTATTTATTTTTAGACAAATGTGGTGTGACATTGTGCCTTTAAAGTTAACTGTTAAACACATTCCTATATTGACCTCCACTAAAAATATGTAACAGACCAAATCGTAAGAAAATAAGGTTTTAAACTTTGAGTCAACAAGTCCTTAAACCAAGAACTTAAAAGTCATATCCAACCAAATAAATATGATGAACAGCATCTATGCATATGCACAAAATGTTTTAGTGTGCACTAATGTGTATGGTTTGCAGATATATATGTGGTTAATCAAGGTTGCCATTGTATAAGGCTGCCTTAGCGCTAAAACTGTGAAAGTCTATAGGAATAATGATCACCTTAGTGCCAAGTCCTCTTTGTACCCTGGCACCCTAGTATTTAGGTGGAAAGATAATTGAAAAAAATATTTCATATTTTGTTTTGATCTACATGAGTATATTTCACTATGTTACAATACATGCAGTGTTTAAATTATATTGGTTTGACCATTTAGAATATTTTGTGTTTTATATTTTAGTGTCCTGTAGAAAATAATGTTATATTTTTCTGTTTTTAATTTTTTGGACTGATTGCTGTGTAAACCATTTTAATAAAGGTATTGCTGTATTTAAACATTAAATTTGGTTAAGTCAGGTAAGCTTTTATGCCAATTGCTTTATGTTGATCTATATATAAAATATTTTTGTATGATCTGGGTGTATATATAGATGTTTGTATATTTGTAAGAATATTACAGTGATGTTAAAACTATGTAACATACATGCAACTGATTATTATTATGATTATCATAATAGTAAAATGGTATCATTCAGTGGACAATTTAATAGATAAATTTATTATACTGTCATTGTCATACCTATTGTCATTTCTATGGATCATCGGTATCCCCTTGGTTTTAGACGGTATTTTTAGGTATGTTTGTTTTTTCAACAATTATGTCACTTTTAATTTCAAACGAGCTGGGGTATGTGTCACTTATTACAGGTAATACTTCACAGGTTTATAGAGACAACATTCCTCCTTCATCAAACGAGGCCTTGTTTGAGTAATTATCAAACTTGCCCAAATCGTTCACTGAACCACGACCAACAATTGCTATATTTGGAGCTACTGGCTAAATTAGAGTTCTGGGTTCCCGATCCACAACATGTTGGTATGGTTACCACCTGTCATAAGTCGATACTTTATTAAAGGCTTACAAATGTTGTAGTGCTATGAATGGTTTGTGGATCGGGACCCTGTTTCTTTATCAACCAGAAAGTTGCAGGTATGTTCATTTGAATTTGGTATTTTTATCAAAGAAAATGTTCAGATACGCTCTTCAGCTTAGAGTTTGACTTTTGTTTCTTAACCACTACTCTCAAACATCAGTCTTAATTGGTGGAAGAGTGTTTTTGACTTTATAAGTTGTCAACAGATAGTACTCTCACACAGAAGCCCTGTAGGTTGATGAGTGATGGAGGAACATGGTTTCTTAGATACATCTGCTAGATCAAATTCCCAGTCCGTGATTAGCTTCTCTGTGGCAACGACCTAAGGTCAGATTATGACAGACAACTTTCCCATTTATAATTTATAACACTGTCTGTGTTGAAATTTCACGGTTTTAGAGAGATAATATATGTTCTTAGGTAATGTCTAGTTGTCATTTTGGCTATGATAATGCACAGGTTTCATGTAAACGTTCACATAGGTCACACTAGGTTAGAGTAGTAAGCAATAGGCCGGATGACATCACACATGGCCATTTATCTGTTAATGCTCCCCAGTGATCACGAGAACAGACAAAATATTTGTCGATTAGATGCTAAAATGGTGTGATGCGTGTGAGAAACAGATTACAGCACTTGTGACTGACAGATACTGAATATCTTACCACTCATCAGATAAAAGGTATCAGCCGAACACGTGTGTAGTAATCTCAATGTATATGAACCACGAAAGTATTGACAGTGGACGGAGGACGAGTGTGCACAAGCCTGTGAAGTACATATGATGATAAGCTACACACTTATACAGGGCTTGATTTAGTGCTTTGTTGCTTGCACTGGTGTAACCCAATATTACAAAGTGCAACCTAGTTATTTGTCTAACTTGCACCAGGTGCAAGTCAATTTTTGAGAAATATATCAACAATTAGTCTAACATTATATCATTATATTATGTCAGCTCATTTTTCTTCTAAACTTTGAATAATTCAGTAGCATATTTCTTTCATTACATATTGCAATAAAAGCAGTGCAACTGGAATTTGGCTGGTGCAACTAGGTTTTTATCTTAGATTGCGCCTGGTGCAAGTAGGTTAACATCTCTTAAATCAAGCCCTGCTTATAGAAGAGATAATACATGTAATGTCAGTGCTTTTCTTGTGGTTAGATAGAGATAGGTTTTCACGTTTTTTTACATAGAGCTTTTTATATATATAGAAGGGGTCTTGCAAAGGTATTGCCATAATAAAAGCTGACCTACCTTGAATGACATTTTGAGTAAACTTAATAAACTACATTGCAAACTTAAGTCCAAATATGTATAGAACTTGTTGTATTACGAGATTGTGCAACAGGATTTACTTACATAATCCAATACGTATTTGTTGATACTCTATTTCCAATGACTGATCATGATGAGATGAACGAAGAATGGTGGTTCGACTTATGTATGGAACATATCATTTTGATACTGATTTTAAGGGTCAAGTTAGGACTTCGGCTTATCAATGAGATCGGCTTATCTATAGTAATAATAAGGTAGTTCAAAAACCATTTCAGTTTCACTACATTCATGTGCATTACAGTTCACAACAAAATACATCAGTATCCTTGCCATGAGGGTGAACAAGATCTTTAAGAGTATCAGTGATCCATTTCAATAGATCTCTAAATGCTGAATAGAATCATGTTGGTCACAGATAGTTTGTTTTCTAAATATTTCAATAAAGTAGTTCCATTTAAAGCCTTATGATAGTGTTTCTATTTGATCTGGTATTATTAACAATTCAGTTGTATCAACAGTCATGGTTTGAATGTTATTGAGTATTTTTGCTGAAGAAGGTGACAGAATAGAGAATGTTTTCACTTATCACGGATATAACCAAACATTTACGGGGCAATATAAAACTTTTAAAGTGACACAGAAGGAAGATTTCCAGCTCTTTTGTATCACATGGGTTGAATCATGAAACATGAATGATGGTTTCAATATAATCAGACTTGTTATTTACATTCTTATTGTTGAAGATTATAAATAGATCACATACACGGTTACACAGAGTTGAACTGTATTTCATGAATCTAGCCAGTAGATGTCTGGATGTGTTATTGCTTTGAATAAAACAGATACACAGTTTAAACAATGCCTCTGTTCAGTTATTCATTTGGTTGGAGTGAGTGAGTGAGTTTTGTTTTACGCCGCTTTTAGCAATATTCCAGCAACATCACGGCGGGGGACACCAGAAATGGGCTTCACACATTGTACCCAAGTGGGGAATCAAACCCGGGTCTTCGGCACCGGTCGAGTCATGGCACTCAAATGACACGAAGGTTTGACAACATGTGTTTGACGTGTGGAAACGCCAGTTTGACCACTATTAAAATTTCAACAACATGTGTTGTCAAACTCTAGTTTGCGAAGGCCGCTTTAGAAGCCTAAAGTGGTTTTCTTAAACCATTGCTTTACCCCTGGTGCTCATTCTAGAGTTCCGGGTTAGAATAGGTCTTCAGCAACCCATGCTTACCACAAAAAGCGACTATGCTTGTAAGAGGCGACTAACGGGATTGGGTGGTCAGGCTCGCTGACTTGGTTGAGACATGTCATCGGTTCCTAATTGCGCAGATCGATGCTCATGCTGTTGATCACTGGATTGTCTGTGATCAGACTCGATTATTTACAGACTGCCACCATATAGCTGGACTATTGCTGAGTGCGGCATAAAACTAAACACACTCACTCACTCATTAGAGTCCCAGTGCTTATTAGAGGAAATATGGTATATGACATCATTGAATGGTAAACGATGTTTGTGTGTTTGTTCTCGCCGCACTCAACATTTCAACCGTGTGATATCAGCCTGTGAAAAATCCAGCTGGGACCAGACAAACTGGTCACTGATGTCACGAGAAAAGTCCCAAGCTGTTGGACGGCCTCCGTGATTGAGCTCATAACATCTGTCTGGATTGAGGAAAGTTGATGGTTTAATGCCCCCATCTCATCTACCTATACAGATGTTAAAAGATGATACTTGCTGTTCACTGTCTGAGAATGGCATTAACAGAATAAAACAAGGATCAGTCTACTCATAGTCAGAACACTTTGTCTGAGTGAGGTAGCCAAGTTGAAGCGGCACGGATATATGGCTTCAACACGGCAGTCTAACACTGCCATCTCGGTCTCCGCTGTTGTGGGACAATTTGCTGGTATATTAATTGGCTCTCTAGTAGAGAATACTCTCTAGTATATACCTGCGATGGATTACCGCACATTGATTGAAATAAAGAAAACCTCAGTTGTGACCTTCACCCTTCAAGAGTGAGTGAGTGAGTTTACTTTTACGCTGCTCTCAGCATCATGTGTCAACCAAGTCAGCGAGCCTGACCACCTGATCCCGTTAAATGCCTCTTACGACATGCATGGGTTACTGAAGACCGATTTTAAACCTGATCTTAACGGGTTCACCCTTCAGGAGCTGTGATGTTGTTGATATGGCTTCAGGATGATGTTCATTTCACATCACAAGTTGAAACTGTAATCGTGACTTCAGTTTCATGCCAAATAATTTTCAATATCAAGTGTTCATACAATCATTGTCACATCCAAGGTGGAATAATAATCTACCATCCCATTTTTAGGACACTCTTTTTGTACGCCAATATAAACGAATGAGTAATATCTAAATAATAATATAAATTTAAATTAATTTTAAGTTTTTACTTTTTATAACCAGATATTAAAAGCAAGTCTCTATAAGATCTCTAAGTCTCCATCTGTACCACAGTTCCAGTGAACAGCATACATTATTGCTTTCAACAAGGTAACAATGCAGTCAAAATGGCCCCAATGTCATTACAGTAAATAAAGAAAATATGAATTATTAATGGCTTTGAGACAAACAATACTGTCTGACGACTTGGTTCTCTCAACAAAAATGGTAAATTATTACGTTAGATCATGTTTAATTCCAATCTCACTTTTTAGGAGAAGCATGTACAAAGTGAATTACCCTCTCTAAAAGGTATGTACAATGTAAGTGCCCCCATCTCAATGTCATGTTCAAAATCAATTACCCCTCTCCCATATTTTTTAAGCATGACACCCCCCAACATGTGTACCAAATTGATGACACCCCCCTCCCCAGAACGAATTGGGTGAACCCCACTTAAAATCATCAAAACACCACCAGCCATAAATTATGAACGATCCCTAAAGTAAACCTTATTACATAAAGTGATAGTTGAGAGACGCCAATCTTCTAATTTCATTCCGTGTTTCTGTATTCTGTATCCTCTCAATGATACACATTCAGTGTATTTTGAGGTTCGCAGTAAGTATTTCAGAGTTATCTCCCTTTTGTTTTTCAGCGTCAGTCACATGTCTACTGCACTGTGAAAAGCTCAAAGTGCACAGGAACCCGGACAATCCGATGATATAACTGCGTGACGATACTTTAATTCATGTGATACTCGTTCTCGAGAAGGAGTCAGAATGGTGACCAAGTCATCTGTTTGTGCAGTGATCTCTTGCATTTTTGGAGTTGCATTGGTAGCTGTTGGCGGAGCTCTCATTGTTGTTTTTAAAAATCTGATACACTCGAATATCGAACAGGTTTGTTGACAGTTTATTCATATCGATGACAGGTGTGATTTTTTATGAACATGTTCATCGAGCTGTTGCACAGTGCTGAGCCGCGTTTTTATATTTCTAACACGCCAAATGTTAGCAGTAGTGTGTACAGACGTAACTGTGCTCTCCATGTTGAGTCATACCTCAGTCATAGTTCATATGAATAAACTCGTATTCCAGCCAAGGCCTACATAGAGCACACCTTGGTATAGTGCAAAGTCGTCTAGTTATATGCTGGACTAACCTCAGTCAATGCGATCACAGATCAGCTGATTTTGTCGCCGTATCTGGACAAGAATATGTAATAACAAAACGAATCCCCTATTTTCAATATTATTTATGTCTCGGACATATTATTAAAACGTGATGAGCCGATATAGAATTTACTGGTCGAAGGGCTATTTACTGCAAACGTTCCAGAATTAAGCTTCTTTAGATCTGGGTGAAGTGAACATCATACTTAAGAAAAATAGGAAGTGCAGATAAATAAATAAAATGCAACAAAACAAAATTCCAAAAACTTTCTAAGTTGGTTGAATTGTTTTCAAATTGAGGGACCACCTTCTTAATCTAAAGGACCAGTGCAGTGCAAATTTTAATTATGATACTTTAATTTTAGTTAGGAAAGGTTTTTCAAACAATAACTGAAAAAGTATTGGTCAGTATGTTTTCAAATTTAGAAAGCAGCTTCTTTGTCTAAGAGTTGTGTCAATTTACTTATTTCAAACTTACAAAAAACAAGGGACTTTTTGGTTCTATCAATAACTTGAACAAATTTGAATGGATTGTTAAGATTTGTGAATGAGCCTCCATATCTATAGAAGTGAAGTGCAAAGATATATTTTGATATGTTTAATTTGTTGAGAATTCTCATAAATGACATCTCTTGAACTCTGGGTAAAAATCCCACATCAAAATTTACTTTACAGTTCCAGTTGTAGTGCAGAGCTTGATAGTTGGATAGTTCAAGTGGCCATATCCTATTTCTGATGAATATCATAGTTGGGTCACCAGTACTGAATGCCGAAGAGTGAAGGCCGCGTAACAGATAGCACCAATAGATCCGTATCACGTGTACGCAGTTCCGGTCACTTACACTTCGGGTATTATTTCCCACAGTATTTGACGACAATAAAAGGAGCAAAATTTTTTTAATTAGTCAGGGCAGAGACCATATACCTATCTTAGTATCTTAGACCATACAGTACATGGGTGAGTGAGTGACTGAGTTTAGTTTTACGCCGCACTCAGCAATATTCCAGCTATATGGCGGCGATCTGTAAATAATCGAGTCTGGATCAGACAATCCAGTGATCAACAGCATGAGCATCGATCTACGCAATTGGGAACCGATGACATGTGTCAACCGAGCCTGACCACCTCGATCCTGTTAGTTGCCTCTTATGACAAGCATGGGTTACTGAAGATCAATATTCTAACCCGGAACTTCACAGGTCTACAGTACATGGAATGCCATGCACAGAAATCTCTCTATTAGTAAGATGAAATAATTTATATTATCACAAATACCTATGTTATACCCTGTTCATATGCACTATAGTCTATAAGCTTATCTCCAGGTGAGCTGTCTCTCCTTTTATAAATTATGTGAAATATAATACAGTTATCCAGTTGTGTTGTGTAACATGTATACAAATGTACAGGAAAGTGTTGAGCTCCATGATAAAAAACTTCTGCGTTATGCAGCCTTATCAGCTTGTGTACTTGTATTTACTTTTGTATTTACTTATAGAATTCAGGTATCAGGTACTCGACTGTTGTGAATAAGACTATCTCATCATTCTTTGCAGCAGAATTATTCTAGAAATTGGTTTAAAAATACCCAATAGACTCGACTCAACTGAAAAATAGTTTTGTATGTTGTTTAATGTACACTCAGCAACATTCCAGCTATATGGCTGCGGTCTGTAAATAATCAAGTCTGGACCAGACAATCCAGTGACCAGCATGCATTAGCATTGATCTTCACACTGGGATATGATGTAGGGGTGAAACGGTACGCTCTTACCACGGTTCGTATTGTGGTACAAGGCCTTCGTTTCGATCTATTTTGGTTTAGTATATGAGATATGGTCATAATGTAGAAAACTGACAACAAAAGCCAAACCACAGGGGCTTGTTTTGCTGAAAATAATACATGAGTGAACGAGTGTTGGACCTAGGACGTATCATTTTCAGCATTACAAGCCCCTGTGAGCCAAAGCTTACATTGTTTAAAAACAGAGAAAAAAATAACCATAATCTTTGTTATTTTGAATTAACAAACCTGTCATTTTACGATTGGATAGAAATGACAGTACAAAAACCAAAAATACTGATTTTTTTGGATTGCATTATGATATACCGAACCGAAGGCGAAATACCACGGTTCTACCAATACCGCGGTATACCGTTTCACCCGTAATATGATGACGTGTGTCAACAAAATCTGATCACCCAATCCTGTTACTTGCCTCTTACAACAAGCATGGGTTGCTGAAGATCAGTTCTAACCTGGATCCTCACAGGTTATATGAAAATAGGGTATGATGAATACCCAACTATAGCGATCAATCTCCAGTGTTCAGTGGCTAAGTATGTTATATGGACAGAAATATATTGCAGTACAGTTTTAAAAAATGTGTATGTAAAAGATATATTTTCCATACATTCAAACACATGGAATCTGTTTAGCTGTATCCTAGAATTGATGGCAGTCTGGATATTTTCAATACATTCTATCAACCAAACGAAACATTTTGTAATATTTCATATATATATGTCATAATGCTAGGTGTTCATGTGACCAAGATACAGACAGCTAGTAAACATTTGTCCAGAAATATATATATATATAAATGTACAAAGAGTGGTGTAAATTTACACACCTGAGAAATTTTACCTTGGTAATTTACATACCAGTGTCAAAAATGCATACGTGTCAAGAAATAGACATATTGCTCTATATACAGGTAACTTGGTTGACACATGTCATCGTATCCCAAATGCGGAGATCGATACTCATGCTGTTTATCACTGGATTGTCTGGTCCAGACATGATTATTTACAGACTGCCACCATATACATGTAGCTGGAATATTGTAGAGTGCGGCGTTAAACAGCTAACCAACCAAACTGTCGTAGGTTAATTTTAGAGAGGCCTCCTTACTTCACAAACACTCAGTGTGCAGTTTGTGTTCATTTATTACACGTCCCAGGGCTAGCTATCGATATAGATCATATAGCTCAATAATTGTTAAATGAATATCGATCAATCATGATACATGTCGGAGGAAAAAGACCAAAAATCTGAAAGGAATCAACATGTTTAACACGAAGAGTGGTGACATATTTTGACTTTGATTGCTAACAAAATGCTGTCATGAACAACACAATTGTTTATGTACGATATTATCAATGACATTATTCTCATAGCGATAATCATGAATATTTTCCCATCAACGATATTTCCCATGGTAATCTTATAAGCCAGCCCTACCAAGTACAAGTGAATGGTATGTTTTGTGTCATCCAGTCAGAGCCTATGAGAAAATGGCCACTCACATGTCTATATGTTTAGGTAGACACATATCGAGTCAAATTAACCAGGTTCTAACATTCTCAGAAAGTTCGAGTAAAAGAGTTGTGAGTTATTTATATCTTTAGGCCAGACCAATTTTATTTCTTGTTTTACGGATCAGCCGGTCGTATGTTTTCAAGAATAAGGACAAAAAATAAAAATTGATTTTCCCTTCTCAAAAAATAAAATTTTAATGTTTTTATTGGCCAAAAAATGTAAATGTGCAAGAAAATGTGTTTAGATTGCTTTTTGCCCCATATATACTTTATTAATTGCCAAAAGTAAAATACTTTCAGTATTTAAAAGGAATATTACTTTGACTGGTGATTTGTATTTTTTTCCCTCCTGCCTTTAGGTTTTCTGAGGAAAGAAATCTGTGAAACAAGAAATGAAATTGGTCTGGCCTTACAAGTAATCTGAAGGTGTCATTATGATGTTTCAGCAAGTGAATCTGAAAGAAGGCTCAGAGACCTACAATGATTGGTTGGATCCACCGGTACCGATCTACTTCCAAGTCTGGGTGCTGGACATTGTCAATCATGAAGAGGTGGTCAGTCAGGGAAAACGCCCGTCTGTTATCCAGAAAGGACCTTATTCGTACAGGTAACCAGGAAACAAGTACTTTTGTTGGAGTGAGTGAGTGAGTTGGGTTTTACACTGCTTATAGCAATGTTCTTGCAGTATCACAGTGGGAGACACCAGAAACGGGTTTCACACATTGTACCCATAGGGAACTGAACCTGGGCCCTTGGCACAATGAGCGAGAGCTTTACCCACTTAGCTACCACAGTGTAGTGTCCCCATTTAGGGGAGAAAAATGTTCGTAACAAGTTATGCTGGTCATCAGAGGCGACTAAGTGGATTAGGTGGACATGCAGTGACTTGGTTGGTTTTTGTTTCATTGTACCTCAACATCTTTGCTCATAATGTCAATCGCTATCTGGATTGTCTGGCAAAGACTCAGTTTGTTTGTTGTCCCCCGCTGCAACACGGAACGGGGGACTATGTATTCAGCAGCATCCGTACGTACGTCCCGATTCTTGTTAACGTGATATCTCATGAACTGTTGTATCCAAATTGTCTTCAAATTTGGTGACAGCCTACATTGGGGGATTACGCAAACACCTTATCTTCAATCTCATGAACTGTTGTACCTATGTCTTCAAAAACACCAGTCGATTTGGGTGACCTTGACCTTATTTTCCAGGTCACCATGACACTTTGACCACTTTTCAAACTCTTGTTATCGCGATATCTCATTAACTGTTGTACCCGGACTGTGGTCATATAGCTGGCAAACTGCTGAGTCTCTTGTCCAATAAACAATGTCAGTGTGAACTTCTGCTACCTGCCTTTGTCTGCTTGGCAATCAAAGAAAATCAATTAGCACTGACTTAATGAAGTCTGTTTTATTAAAACAGCTGAACATATTTTTAATGTGTTCACTGTACTTGTGTGTCCATTGCTGCAACTGATTTGTTTTTGTAAAATTAAAAATTGCAATTGCTGCAGCAGTTAACATTACAGGGGTTGTGTTTTGAAATTATTAATGCACAGTAAGATAATAGACATTAGCATATTGAATTTTTTGTAAACTTATGTTAGAAATCTTTTGAAGATGAGTTTGCATCTTAAGGTTTGTTGTATGTCATTCGACCCGTGAAGATCCGGGGTAGAATAGGTCTTCAGCAACCCATGCTTGCCACAAAAGGCAACTATGCTTGTCGTAAGAGGTGACTAACGGGATCGGGTGGTCAGGCTCGCTGAATTGATTAACACATGTCATCGGTTCCCAATTGCGCAGATCGATGCTCATGCTGTTGATCACTGGATTGTCTGGTCCAGACTCGATTATTTACAGACCGCCGCCATATAGGTGGAATATTGCTGAGTGCGGCGTAAAACTAAACTCACTCACTCACTCACTCCCTTGTATGTCATTCCGTACCATGGCATGAAAGTGAAGTCCCTGGTATTGAGAAACACACATTGAAATTATCGTAATGCAAAATTAATTCTATGTGACCAAGCATTGCAGAAAAAAACAACTGAAGACAAAGACATTTTTTATTGCAACTATAGGGATTGTGCATGCACTACTGATGTTCTTTGTTCAGGATCGCTTTATTGACAGGATAAGCACTGATTTTGAAAGTTTGTACAGGAGGGTCACCTTGTTAGTGGGGTTATCATGGCATTCTCAAGAGTGTACTATCAAGATTATTTTTAGGTTCCATAGCAGTTTTCTTGTCAATTAGACTGAATGAGCTTAATGCCTGTGAAGGGGCAGTGAGGTAGCAAAGTGGTTAAAGCGTCTGCTCATCACACCGAAGACCTGGGTTCGATTCCCCACAAGGGTACAATGTGTGAAGCCCATTTCTGATGTCCCCTGCTGTGATATTGCTCGAATGTTTGTTAAAAAGTGATGTAAAACCATATTCACTCGCTCACTAATGCCTGTGAAGCCTGTGTTAATACAAGGAAATACAAGGGGGCTTTGACCATTCAAACAGAAGCATAAACAAGAGGCCACACTGATTAGGAAAGATACTATAGAGTGCTTTTTAATCTTAAATAGATATGTATTTTGAAAACAGAAACTGTAGTGGTGTGTCCTGTATTCAAGGTAATATTTGTTATAACAAGCTGAGGACCTTTTTGAAAGTATTCCCTGACTGCTATCTTAGAATAACATATGGAAACAATCAAGAACACAATAAACCCTTTCTCATAATTGACAACGGCCATGAGCATTGAATCAGCAGTTTTGATGATGATGATGATGATGATGATGATGATAACTATACACATGGAAAAAAGCATTGCAACACCCATGGTTTTTTAATCCTCATATATCTATTTAAATTTGTATCATAATTATGTTTGTTTTTATGACTATTTGGACCATTTGGGCGCACCATACATTCGTTTCAGATGTGCACATGCCACAGTAAAAGGCAAGCATCATGTGTAACACTTGTATGCATCATTTAGCAAATATCAAGTTTGAGTAAACAGTTCTTACAACTTGTTAACTTGGAAAATCAATTGATTTCATTTCTAAGAAACAAATATAGGTTCTCCTTAACTGACAACTGCTATTGTTGGTTGAAATTGGACCTTTTTGTATGAATGTTTCTGATGATCCCTGTGTAAAACGGAATGGTTCTAATGATTGTCAATTTTTCTTTGTTGGAGCATTGATAGGTAAACATCACATTCAACAATCTACAGTTACCATGTTTGGTAGCGCCATAAGTCCGCTGGTCCTGAGATACCTTCACCACAGTACCCATGTTGTTGGTTGATACCTTTGTTGGTTGTCAACATACCCATGTTGGTAGGTAGAGCAGATCGTTTACCTTTGTTGGTTGATAAAGCAGTCAACATACCCATGTTGGTAGGTAGAGCAGATCGTTTACCTTTGTTGGTTGATAAAGCAGTCAACATACCCATGTTGGTAGGTAGAGCAGATCGTTTACCTTTGTTGGTTGATAAAGCAGTCAACATACCCATGTTGGTAGGTAGAGCAGATCGTTTACCTTTGTTGGTTGATAAAGCAGTCAACATACCCATGTTGGTAGGTAGAGCAGATCGTTTACCTTTGTTGGTTGATAAAGCAGTCAATATGGCCATGTTGGTAGGTAGAGCAGATCGTTTACCTTTGTTGGTTGATAAAGCAGTCAATATGGCCATGTTGGTAGGTAGAGCAGATCGTTTACCTTTGTTGGTTGATAAAGCAGTCAATATGGCCATGTTGGTAGGTAGAGCAGATCGTTTACCTTTGTTGGTTGATAAAGCAGTCAATATGGCCATGTTGGTAGGTAGAGCAGATCGTTTACCTTTGTTGGTTGATAAAGCAGTCAACATACCCATGTTGGTAGGTAGAGCAGATCGTTTACCTTTGTTGGTTGATAAAGCAGTCAACATACCCATGTTGGTAGGTAGAGCAGATCGTTTACCTTTGTTGGTTGATAAAGCAGTCAACATACCCATGCTGGTAGGTAGAGCAGATCGTTTACCTTTGTTGGTTGATAAAGCAGTCAATATGGCCATGTTGGTAGGTAGAGCAGATCGTTTACCTTTGTTGGTTGATAAAGCAGTCAATATGGCCATGTTGGTAGGTAGAGCAGATCGTTTACCTTTGTTGGTTGATAAAGCAGTCAATATGGCCATGTTGGTAGGTAGAGCAGATCGTTTACCTTTGTTGGTTGATAAAGCAGTCAACATACCCATGTTGGTAGGTAGAGCAGATCATTTACCTTTGTTGGTTGATAAAGCAGTCAATATGGCCATGTTGGTAGGTAGAGCTGATCGTTTACCTTTGTTGGTTGATAAAGCAGTCAATATGGCCATGTTGGTAGGTAGAGCAGATCGTTTACCTTTGTTGGTTGATAAAGCAGTCAACATACCCATGCTGGTAGGTAGAGCAGATCGTTTACCTTTGTTGGTTGATAAAGCAGTCAATATGGCCATGTTGGTAGGTAGAGCAGATCGTTTACCTTTGTTGGTTGATAAAGCAGTCAACATACCCATGCTGGTAGGTAGAGCAGATCGTTTACCTTTGTTGGTTGATAAAGCAGTCAATATGGCCATGTTGGTAGGTAGAGCAGATCGTTTACCTTTGTTGGTTGATAAAGCAGTCAATATGGCCATGTTGGTAGGTAGAGCAGATCGTTTACCTTTGTTGGTTGATAAAGCAGTCAACATACCCATGTTGGTAGGTAGAGCAGATCGTTTACCTTTGTTGGTTGATAAAGCAGTCAATATGGCCATGCTGGTAGGTAGAGCAGATCGTTTACCTTTGTTGGTTGATAAAGCAGTCAACATACCCATGCTGGTAGGTAGAGCAGATCGTTTACCTTTGTTGGTTGATAAAGCAGTCAATATGGCCATGTTGGTAGGTAGAGCAGATCGTTTACCTTTGTTGGTTGATAAAGCAGTCAATATGGCCATGTTGGTAGGTAGAGCAGATCGTTTACCTTTGTTGGTTGATAAAGCAGTCAACATGGCCATGTTGGTAGGTAGAGCAGATCGTTTACCTTTGTTGGTTGATAAAGCAGTCAATATGGCCATGTTGGTAGGTAGAGCAGATCGTTTACCTTTGTTGGTTGATAAAGCAGTCAACATACCCATGTTGGTAGGTAGAGCAGATCGTTTACCTTTGTTGGTTGATAAAGCAGTCAACATACCCATGTTGGTAGGTAGAGCAGATCGTTTACCTTTGTTGGTTGATAAAGCAGTCAATATGGCCATGCTGGTAGGTAGAGCAGATCGTTTACCTTTGTTGGTTGATAAAGCAGTCAATATGGCCATGTTGGTAGGTAGAGCAGATCGTTTACCTTTGTTGGTTGATAAAGCAGTCAACATACCCATGTTGGTAGGTAGAGCAGATCGTTTACCTTTGTTGGTTGATAAAGCAGTCAATATGGCCATGTTGGTAGGTAGAGCAGATCGTTTACCTTTGTTGGTTGATAAAGCAGTCAATATGGCCATGTTGGTAGGTAGAGCAGATCGTTTACCTTTGTTGGTTGATAAAGCAGTCAACATGGCCATGTTGGTAGGTAGAGCAGATCGTTTACCTTTGTTGGTTGATAAAGCAGTCAACATACCCATGTTGGTAGGTAGAGCAGATCGTTTACCTTTGTTGGTTGATAAAGCAGTCAACATACCCATGCTGGTAGGTAGAGCAGATCGTTTACCTTTGTTGGTTGATAAAGCAGTCACATATGGCCATGCTGGTAGGTAGAGCAGATCGCTTTACCTTTGTTGGTTGATAAAGCAGTCAACATACCCATGTTGGTAGGTAGAGCAGATCGTTTACCTTTGTTGGTTGATAAAGCAGTCAATATGGCCATGTTGGTAGGTAGAGCTGATCGTTTACCTTTGTTGGTTGATAAAGCAGTCAATATGGCCATGTTGGTAGGTAGAGCAGATCGTTTACCTTTGTTGGTTGATAAAGCAGTCAGTATGGCCATGTTGGTAGGTAGAGCAGATTGTTTACCTTTATTGGTTGATAAAGCAGTCAACATACCCATGCTGGTAGGTAGAGCAGATCGTTTACCTTTGTTGGTTGATAAAGCAGTCAACATACCCATGCTGGTAGGTAGAGCAGATCGTTTACCTTTGTTGGTTGATAAAGCAGTCAACATACCCATGCTGGTAGGTAGAGCAGATGGTTTACCTTTGTTGGTTGATAAAGCAGTCAACATACCCATGTTGGTAGGTAGAGCAGATCGTTTACCTTTGTTGGTTGATAAAGCAGTCAACATACCCATGTTGGTAGGTAGAGCAGATCGTTTACCTTTGTTGGTTGATAAAGCAGTCAACATACCCATGTTGGTAGGTAGAGCAGATCGTTTACCTTTGTTGGTTGATAAAGCAGTCAACATACCCATGTTGGTAGGTAGAGCAGATCTGTTACCTTTGTTGGTTGATAAAGCAGTCAACATACCCATGCTGGTAGGTAGAGCAGATCGTTTACCTTTGTTGGTTGATAAAGCAGTCAACATGGCCATGTTGGTAGGTAGAGCAGATCGTTTACCTTTGTTGGTTGATAAAGCAGTCAACATACCCATGCTGGTAGGTAGAGCAGATCGTTTACCTTTGTTGGTTGATAAAGCAGTCAACATACCCATGTTGGTAGGTAGAGCAGATCGTTTACCTTTGTTGGTTGATAAAGCAGTCAACATACCCATGTTGGTAGGTAGAGCAGATCGTTTACCTTTGTTGGTTGATAAAGCAGTCAACATACCCATGTTGGTAGGTAGAGCAGATCGTTTACCTTTGTTGGTTGATAAAGCAGTCAATATGGCCATGCTGGTAGGTAGAGCAGATCGTTTACCTTTGTTGGTTGATAAAGCAGTCAACATACCCATGTTGGTAGGTAGAGCAGATTGTTTACCTTTGTTGGTTGATAAAGCAGTCAATATGGCCATGCTGGTAGGTAGAGCAGATCGTTTACCTTTGTTGGTTGATAAAGCAGTCAACATACCCATGTTGGTAGGTAGAGCAGATTGTTTACCTTTGTTGGTTGATAAAGCAGTCAATATGGCCATGCTGGTAGGTAGAGCAGATCGTTTACCTTTGTTGGTTGATAAAGCAGTCAATATGGCCATGCTGGTAGGTAGAGCAGATCGTTTACCTTTGTTGGTTGATAAAGCAGTCAATATGGCCATGTTGGTAGGTAGAGCAGATCGTTTACCTCTGTTGGTTGATAAAGCAGTCAATATGGCCATGTTGGTAGGTAGAGCAGATCGTTTACCTTTGTTGGTTGATAAAGCAGTCAATATGGCCATGTTGGTAGGTAGAGCAGATCGTTTACCTTTGTTGGTTGATAAAGCAGTCAATATGGCCATGTTGGTAGGTAGAGCAGATCGTTTACCTTTGTTGGTTGATAAAGCAGTCAACATACCCATGCTGGTAGGTAGAGCAGATCGTTTACCTTTGTTGGTTGATAAAGCAGTCAATATGGCCATGTTGGTAGGTAGAGCAGATCGTTTACCTTTGTTGGTTGATAAAGCAGTCAATATGGCCATGTTGGTAGGTAGAGCAGATCGTTTACCTTTGTTGGTTGATAAAGCAGTCAATATGGCCATGTTGGTAGGTAGAGCAGATCGTTTACCTTTGTTGGTTGATAAAGCAGTCAATATGGCCATGTTGGTGGTAGGTAGAGCAGACCGTTTACCTCTGTTGGTTGATAAAGCAGTCAATATGGCCATGTTGGTAGGTAGAGCAGATCGTTTACCTTTGTTGGTTGATAAAGCAGTCAATATGGCCATGCTGGTAGGGAGAGCAGACCGTTTACCTCTGTTGGTTGATAAAGCAGTCAATATGGCCATGTTGGTAGGTAGAGCAGATCGTTTACCTCTGTTGGTTGATAAAGCAGTCAATATGGCCATGCTGGTAGGTAGAGCAGACCGTTTACCTCTGTTGGTTGATAAAGCAGTCAATATGGCCATGTTGGTAGGTAGAGCAGATCGTTTACCTTTGTTGGTTGATAAAGCAGTCAATATGGCCATGTTGGTAGGTAGAGCAGATCGTTTACCTTTGTTGGTTGATAAAGCAGTCAATATGGCCATGTTGGTAGGTAGAGCTGTCAATGTAACGGATTTTATTGCAGTCACTATACTATATGTTACCGATTTGCGATATGACTAGAAATCCTTACTCATTCATCAATATACCCATGTTATTACGGACAGTATTCAATATACCTGTAAGTGTAGCAGTTAATATACCCTTGTCAGTTGGTATAGCTGTCATTATACCCATGTTGGTAGGTGTTGGTTGCTGTACTTATTTTTTAGCCCCTCAATTAATGTACATGTACTTATTTCTTTTCTTCTCAATTTCTCTACATATTTTCCTGTTTGTCAATAGTACTAAACTTATATCTCAACTTTCCTTTTGCTTCACTAATATCTGTGCTTCATTATTGCTTTACATGTTTATCTGCTCCACTGATACTTAATTACTTATCTAGAATCTCTACAAGTCCACATATTGCAAATTTCATGAAGGAAACCGAAGTTCTATGGAAAGTCAACTTCTTTATTGCAATGAGTGCGACATTTCGGTGTAGGTACTAACTTCGTTGTCAATTGATGACTAGATGCATATTTCATGCCCATGTAACAATATAGAATACCAGTTTCTACTCATTTAAACCTCTCATTTTGATCACTCACCAACATCTCGCTATGTTTCAGACCATTGCCAACCTGATTCGGTTTGAGTATGGGTTCATCCAGGAGCTGGTTGACCTGGTGTTGGAGGGGGTGGGAGAGAGACTGTTCCTCCAACTCTCGGTGTCGGACATAATGTGGGGATACGAAGACAAGCTGCTGAAGGAGGTGGATGATATCTTACAGCGCACCGTCAACAAGACCATTGATGACCACTTTGGTCTCTTCTATAATGTAGGATATTATGTTTTCGTTGTTGCTTCTTTGAAATTGTGGGTACAATGTGTGAAGCCCATTATGTGTGATGTCCCCCGCAGTGATGTTGCTGGAATATTGCTAAAAATGGCATAAAACTAAACTCACTCACTCGCTCTGTGAAATTGGTGCACTTTTGGCCCATATGTCTAGGGTAACACTATTCTATCAATATAATAACATTAAATTTGATGATCATGGGTTTTAATCAGACATTTGTCCTGATTACAGATATTGGTTCGTTAGCAACTGTGCCAATGCCTTAGGGTTCACCAAAGTGGTAAATGTGAAGGACCTTCATTACCCATGGTTTTCTTCTCATGAAGATCCGGGTTAGAATTGGTCTTCAGCAACCAGTTGCGTTATGCGATGCTTAAGATGTTGATCACTCGATTGTCTAGTTCAGATTTGATTATCACCATATAACTCAAATATTGTACATCAAACAATCAACTATACAAACATCTGTCTTACCTCCCTCATTAAGTGTATAGGCCATAATAATTAAGAAATAGTGTTCAGAGCAGTAATAAGCTCACTCACTCCCTCACTACAGCTCGTGATTTAATGGGATTAATAGATACATTTAAATTCAATGAGTTTTTTAAAAATATATCATACACATCCTCATTTTCAGCAAAACGGATCTGATGATGGGGCGTACAACATCAACACCGGGGTGAATGATGCAAGTCAGTTTGCTATGATAAAGAGCTGGAACTACAACAGGTGTGTTTCAGAAATTCAACCCGATTAAAGCACTGCTGTAGGTCTCCTACAGATCCCTGAGCAAAAGACAACTTCAGTTCATGTGTGTGTTTATGCATACCATGAGGAGCGGTGGGGTAGCCTAGTGGTTAAAGCGTTGGCTCGTCACGCTGAAGACCCGGGTTCGATTCCCCACATGGGCACAATGTGTGAAGCCCATTTCTTATCCCTGCCGTGATATTGCTGGAATATTGCTAAAAGCGGCGTAAAACTAAACTCAGTCAGTCAGTCATGCATACCATGTGTAATTCAAATGACAGGTCACCCGTGAAGATCTGGGTTAGAATTGGTCTTCAGTAACCCGTGCTTGTTGTAAGAGGCAACTCACAGGATTGGGTGGTCAGGCTCGCTGACTTGGTTGACAAATGTCAGCATATCCCAAATGCTTAGTGCGATGCTCATGATGTTGATCACTGGATTCTCTGGTCCAGATTTGATTATTTACAGACCGCTGCCATATAGCTGGAATATTGTGGTATAAAACTAAACTCACTCACTCACTCAAATGACGGGTATATCCTCTACTTGGTGAATAGTTAGTGTGAGTTATATTTGGGGATGTCATTATGTTACTCTCCTGTTAGATTAGTTTGACACGGAAACTGAGAGGATTTAAGCAGGCTGAAATAAGGTGATAACTGTCAGTGTGTGAGTGAGTGTGTTGGAATTCATGACGTTTTTAGCATTATGCGACCTATATCACACTACATTCACACATTATACCCACATGGGCTATTGGGCGTTTGCCATGACACTTGAATGCTTTAACCACATGCTACCCCACCACCTCTCAGAGTATGGAGAGTGCTAGCACTAAAATTAGTTTCAACCAATGCAGACAATTCCCTTGGCCATGTTTATGGTAATGGCATTATATATTAATGTTGAATTAATGTCATTTTGTCTTGCTATGGTATGACAAATTTCCATACTACCAGGACTTTCTGGATCAAAAGAGAGCTTGACATTTAGCACCTTTTACCTCTGGCCATGGCTTTCTGTTGTTCTGCTATCAACATTGTGAGATGATAAAACTCGATGTGGTTGGGAACTTCTTGCAAAGTTTGCTCCATTTCCTAAGCGATGTCTTCTTCATGTACGTCTTTGAAGTATCACTGTTACTCATTTTTAATGTCTCTTTCAATATTTACTTATTCTGGGTTGTATTGATATGAAAAAAAATGTGTTTGAGAATAATGTGCGATATACATTTGTACTTTGTGTGAAAGTGATTATCATTGTTTATTTTATTCAAACTGGCAACCTGCTCTAAACATTTCACAGAGTCCATTGTTTCATAGACCAAATGCCAGCTTTTGTTTTTATTTAGGTGGAATGGAGATAAACATTCTTTGTTTTCTTTTTAACTCTTTGTTACCTTAAGATTTAAAGGTGCTATGTTAAACATTTGAGTGAGGCATTGGTTCCGCCCTTTTGATCCCTCAAACAACAGGTCTTAGAGCTTAACAGCATGTTTATCTTCTGTGTACCAATTTGAACTTGAGCGCTGATTTGTTTCTTTTGTTCATAACAGCACCCTGCCATACTGGACTTCACTAACAGCAAACATGATCAACGGCACAGGTAAGACATTTGAAATTAATTATATATCTTGGACAAAAATATTTGAACAAATATTTGCAAAGGTTGACTGGGATGTTTAATTTGAAAGACATTATGTCTATTTACTGGTACTTCTGACAAGGCTTTGTTCTTTTTACACGATGACTGTAGAGGCTAGAGACTACATTTCATATATTTGTTGAAAGTTAATAGTTATTATTATTTTTTTTACAGAGGTATTTCTATACTTATTACCATCAATGACGGCAAATAAAAAAAATCGAAATCTATTTTGGTGAATGTATTTTGATATATATATATATATATTACATTACTTTGGGCAAACTGTTAAACCTCCGTGTTGGGTCAAGGTCACTGTGAAGGTTGTATATGACCGAAATCTCCTTGCAACAAGAATGAAGTTTCTGTTGGTCAACTATTCACAGTATTATGGTTAAGAATTGCCGTGACAATAGATTTGTGGGTCCCCTTTGAACCAGCAAAATAGAACACAGAAAATATTCAATAATATATTGAATAAACAATGAGCAAGGTTACAATGAATGGATTTCTAATGCAATATTCTGGATTTACAAATCTAAAATATTGGGTCATAAATCTAAAATGTCAACTAAATGTCTATAATTACCACAGTCTTGATTCTTGTCGATGTACTGATTGAAGATTGAGTTGATGTGGTCAGTTGATGTTAAGAGACAGACAGATGAGCAGGAATCCAAATCAGTCCTCCAAGTCGTGTGTTAGTCCCCCGTACATCTCAGAAACCACCTCTTATATATCCGTCATTCAGTTCTGGAGAAATCCAGCTAAAATGATGGCAGAAGACAAAGATCAAATCGCTTCTTGATTCTTCTGGAAGCAGAATATCAACAAACATCAACAAAGGGGCAGTTAACTCTAAGTGCAGCTCCTCAGGCCACCCTCAACAGGCGGAATTACATAGCCTAAGCAAGATGCATGTTCAAATCACACTCGGCGCTTTAAGCTTGTGACCTTAATAATGAAAAGTTAATCAATGTGACATCTTAATCAGCATAAAACACACACTCCCATAACAACAGCTGATGAGTTTGGGGGTTTGTTCCCCCACAGACAAGGCTGGTTGCAACTCCATGCATCATAAACATTGTTCATACAAACATGTAAAATTTGAAAACTTCTTCCATGCCCTGAGCATCCGTTCCATTTAAATTACAGTAACCTTTGTTAATGTGGAACATGTTTTTGATGAACTGATGTATAGAATGAATTGCTGTTTTTTGAAGTCTGTTAAAACCCTGGTTTACTGCATGTTGAAATTCTTCAAATGAATGAAATTGTTTAATTCTTCCGATGAAAACCTCTTCTTCCAGATGGCACAATGTTCCCTCCATTCGTGGACAAGGCTCAACCCCTCTATCTGTTCTCTTCAGACATTTGCAGGTGAGGATGTTTGAGGATAGTTTGGATTAAGTAAAATTGCTTCATGGCCCAGCCATTGGCTGTCGTCTGGGGCATGTAACTCCATGGATCATTAGTACACAAGCCCTGTTGTGTGGTCACTGTTTGTTAGCAACACATGATGTACATGTTGCTGCATGGTTCCAGCTGAAGGGAAGCCAGCTAGTAGACCTGAGAACTCTGTTTCTTGCACATAGGTTGTTTCTTGTACAGAGGTTGTTTCTTGCACAAAGGTTTCATGCACAAAGGTTGTTTCTTGCACAAAGGTTGTTTCTTGCACGAGGTTGTATCTTGCATAGAGGTTTCGTGCCCAAAGGTTGTTTCATGCCCAAAGGTTGTTTCTTGCACAGAGGTTTTGTGCACAAAGGTTGTTTCTTGCACAGAGGTTGTTTCTTGCACAAGGTTGTTTCTTGCACAAAGGTTTCATGCACAAAGATTGTTTCTTGCACAGAGGTTGTTTCTTGCCCAAAGGTTTCTTGCACAGAGGTTGTTTCTTGCACGAGGTTGTTTCATGCCCAAAGGTTGTTTCTTGCACAGAGGTTGTTTCTTGCACAAAGGTTGTTTCTTGCACATAGGTTGTTTCTTGCACAAAGGTTGTTTCTTGCACAGAGGTTGTTTCTTGCACAAAGGTTGTTTCTCACACAGATTGTTTCTCACCAAAGGTTGTTTCTTTGGGAGGTTGTTTCTTGCACGAGGTTGCTTCTCACACAAAGGTTGTTTCTTTGGGAGGTTGTTTCTCGCACTAAGGTTGTTTCCCACACAAAGGTTGTTTCCCACTCAAAAGTTCCACACTACTCTACAAGTTGATTCAGTGTCAGACACTAGTAGGTTTCGCACGAGCAGATGTAAGTGTAAGTAAGACTTGACTAATTTCCACACTGCTTCATTTCCTTGGTTGACTGCAATTAGACATAACCACTACACTGTATTGCCGCAAAGTGTTCACGGGTGATGGTGGAATGTGAATATTTGACAGTCGGTACAAGACCTCTAGTGGCTATTTGAGGGCAGAAATGTTTTGAGACCTATAACATTGTAATGTGAAGGCTTAATGTTTCTGTGACAGTAGTGAAAGATAAACAGTCCAAACAGTTTCACTTCCAGTAGTTCCTGGGGATTCCTGTGTTTATACCGGGACAGAAAAAAGAGTGACATTGTGCAAAGTGATCTCAGTGCTGAGGTGATCACAACTATACCTCAATATAGACATACGACAGTCGTAGAGCAAAGGTTGTTCTGTACAATGGCATCTAGGTCATCAGTACCTTAATGTAGATTCAGGTGTCCAAGGGGGAATCTGGTCTAAAACCAAACATCTCCCACCCAGCACCACCATGGTATACCATGGTCTCTCAGAGGGCTAGAACAATTGGTTGGTTGGTTGGTTGGTTGGTTGACTTGTTGCTTAACACAGCATTCAGCAATGTATGGTGGCGGTCTGTAAATAAATGAGTCTAGACCAGACAATCAAGTGATCAACATCATGAGCATCGATCTACGCAATTGGGATGCGATGACATGTGTCCTGACTCATGCTCTTTTTGCTTGTCTTCTTCTTCTTGCGAACATAGTGGAACACTTGTATCTCCCTAATTGAAGCTCCTTCAATGTAAAATCACTAATTAGTACTCAGCCACGAGTTACCTCCCTTCCACAAAAGCAGCAGCGGGAGCGATCCTGACTCAGCCACCTCCACCATGTGCCTCACTCTCTCCTTCTTAGCCCAGTGAGCTGGGCGTGAGAGCACCTGTGTCTCCGACACACTATATCCTTTGATTATATTTAGTTAGTTACCTCGTATAGACATCTATAGAGGTTTAGCTAGTATCCTTCAACAATTATATATTGATATTTAGTCGTGTTTCTACTGTTTATTCACGGGGCCGCCGTGTTTGTTTCAGTGGATTACGTTGATAAAAATTCTGTTCTGTTGCAGATTACGTTTTTATTCTGCTGCTGATCCGCATTTAATATGCCCTAGTTGTACTGCGCCATGTTCATTTTATTCACGTTGCAGTTGCGGTACTAATTTATCCATTTCTGCCTTTAATAAATAATTACTGCGTTTGAGGCGGCGCAGCAGATAGGTCGGCGTATGCAGAGTCTAGCCATGACTGATACACCTGAACCCCTCGCCAGTCTACTGCTGTTGGTCGACCCGCTCCCGTCTGGTGTTTCGCTAGAGTGGTGGGAGGCGTGGGGCGTAGTCCGCCGCCTCAGAAGTGTCCTGCTTCCCCAGACATCCCATCGTCGCAGCCGAAGACTAGAGTTTTTCTACTGCATCTCAGCGACCTCTGAGGGAAATCAGCGAAGTCTACTTGAACTTTCTCAGCGAGATTGTTCCGTCGCAGATTTGGGCCTGTATGATGATCAGCCGATCATCATACCTGATGTACATCAAAGAATGACCGATGTCGGCAACAGTGATGTCAGCGCAGATCAACATGCAGCCTGATGTACCAAGCGCTGATATTCTATGATCTTCCTGAGGGTCCGTCGCTACCAACACTCAGCGCAGACGCGCACCCCAGGGCAGCGTCGACCTCTGAGGGAAATCAGCGAAGTCTACTAGGACTTTCTCAGCGAGATTGTTCCAGCGCTGAACTGGGCCTCTCGATGATCAGCTGATCATCATTCCCGGCGTGCGCCACAAGAAGCGACCGGAGACAGCTACAGTGACATCAGCAGAGATCGCCATGCAGCCTGATGTCTCTACACTGGCGTCAGGCGACTTCCCTGAGGGTCCCGCCGCTAACATCGCGCAGAGGGCACCGACTAATTAAATCGCCAGACCATCCCAGATGAACTGTTGCGGCAAATCATGATCATGATGGAGGCCACCACAGACTGGGAAGCAGCCAGCCCAAGGCCGAGAGCCAGCGAAGGTTCCAACGCAGAGCGACACCCCAGAGGCACCCCCATCAGCGTAGCAGCCACGACGAAGCCACCTTCGCGAAGGAAGTCGCAGACCACCTCCACGAAGGACCCAGATGTACAGCCTTCGCGAAGGCGGGATAGATCATCACATTCCTCGGCTTCATCCCTAGATGCGGACTCAGACCGTCAGACCTCACGGAAGCCTTCGCGAAGGTCAAATCGCCGTTCCCCAGGACCGGACGCAGAGGAAGCTTAGCGAAGGCCTTCGCGAAGGACACCTGAGGACACCGAGAGCCGCGAAGCTATCAACATTCTCCTCACAGGTCTCCGAGAAGGTCAACGCATAGACGCAGTTCACCAACACGATCTCCGCGCCGTTAACCGTGCCGATCTCCTCGTACATCACCACGTCGATCGTCTCACAGGTCACCACACAAGTCTGCACACAAGTCTACAGTCAGGTCTCCCCGGGCGTCACCCGACATAGAGATAGAAATACACAGTCCACCATCAGAAGAGCATCAACCTCTCATCAGTGATGCTGGGATAGAAAATGATGGAGGCATCATTTTCTCAGACGCTGAGATACGATATTGGATGGTAAACAACCTAGATCTCTCTTCACCTTCCAAGAGTGGCAACTCGGCGCAGACATACCTGATAAAGGAAGACGAGGCAGACGCCATCACCTTACCTCCAATCGACTCGATTGCTGCGGTGCCACAGTATGTGGACACAGCCTACCATAAAGCCATAACAGTTCAAACGCCAGAGGCGTATGTTGTTGGCATTAATAGATCTAGAACGATCAATGAGATTCTTATCACCAGATTTCGTGACACGACTTCTGAAGATGATAGGATGATCTACTCGGCTCTACTTATGCAGAACCAGCAAGAACCACACCCTGTATGAAGCTAACGCTCATATATTGATCGATTTCTAGACACTTCGCCTAGGAAGTCCCAGGCCACCTCCGCGAAGGAGCTAGAGCCTCACCAGTTACGCTCACCAGCGGCGTAAAACAATACACTCACTCACTCACTCCTGTTGAACACAGAGGTCGTTCGCGAAGCAAGCGCTCATATATTATATATATACTGATCGGGCTCTGACTCAATACCTTCGCGAAGGTCGCGAAGGCTAAGTGGCTCCAAGTCTACCTCATACAGGAAATCTAGATTGGATACTTCGAGAGCTTCGCGAAATCTCCGGCGTCCACCGAGGAATTCTCCTCCAAGGTCTCCATATATTAGCCACTCGTCATATATAGCTACTCGTCAGTCCGTTCAAGACATCGCATAAGTTGTCTATCAACTGTATGCCATATGCCGTCTATAAGCCTACGCGAAGACAATTGCACAGGCTATTTACAACACAAACGTCGCTATATTAATTAATCAACGACGTTGCATAGATCTTCACAGAAATCAACCTTTCCGTATAGATTGCTAGAATATGCAATCCCGGACTACGATACGAGTATCTACATGCGTGACCATTACGCAGATCTGCAGACAATTCAATATCGAAATTGAACAGCAGCCTTGTTACAGCGAGTATAACTCATAATCGTCAAAGTTTCTGAGAAGAAATATGTACAACAAGTTCAGCTTTAATTCTACAATTATGACGATACATTCATGTATACAGTCTACAAGCTGACAACTTGCAAGTTTATTGTACCTTTATATAAGAAAGTCGGAATTATATTCAAAACTGAAGTTACTTTCACGACAGCCAGGAAAATAACCTACCCAGCATTAATATTACAGAGCGAGGTATTTCGCGCCGGAGGTTTCGCGCGTTTACCTTTAACCCTCGAAACACGTGGTCACTCGGGTAACTTCGGGAAGCTACGGTGAAGACCGACGATTATGCTAATATCAACGACGGCAAGATTTTATACAAGGTTTTTTCCTGCTACACCGGTGACATCACAGCGCGGGTATTCTACAGAATCAAAATGCCTTGTTCTGATTGGACCGCGTTGGACAACGACCTACGCAGAGGTCGATCTTACTTCACAGGTCAACACTTACGTTACAAGTGACAACTATATTTCAGTGAACGAGCAAGCCTCCTTACAGTCCAGTTAATCTGAACCTTCATGATTGGGCTGCTTTCTTCAGGTTAGAGACCTCCCCTGTCAAGTTAGGACGAGGGCACGGCAGTCAGGCAATTTTACATAAACTTCAACGAGGACAGACACACCTGGTTGTGCACCTACATCGTCAAGGACTTCGCAGCGAATAACCTAGACGACGGGATACAAGTGGATCTAAATCCACAGCGTCTCAGACTACAGCTGAATTTCATAATCAAGCTACTAACACAACTAGATGGTTAGTAAACCTACTTAAACTTTCTGATTGAAGAATTAAAACGGAAGTTTCACCCTCCAACTTGAGGATCTGAATATAGTGCTCCAACACCTCACAAGTGAGGTTTATGAACACGCCTGGATGACATACTTGGACTTCATGATACGATGATTCTATCACGATGGCCAGCAAGAGCACTGTAAATTTATCTCCACCGAACCAAACAGAAGGGAATAATACAACAGATTATTTCCTCTATCATCAACTTACGCAGAATGAAATCTCACGTACTATATCTCCGTTTGGATCAGAACTGTCATACTACGTGCATACAAGACGGATGGACCCAATCCGACCCTCCATGAGCTTTTTAATACTCATGATATTAGAGCGCTAACTTCTGCATTGATCTACACAATGTTATTTGAAATAATGGAGGGTTTATTTTCTGGAGATCCGATATGGTGGTTGCCAACCATTATCTGAGAGATATCATCACCGAGGACGTCTCAGGTATCCACCAATTCGATCCCATGGTCCTCGCACTACAGTTGACAGTTCCTCGGAGAAGATAAGTCAATCTTACAGATTTCTACTTATCTTATAACAGTACTAAATAGCTACATGCTATATATAATTTGCTTAAGTTCTTTTTATCATCACAGTACTATGATTATTACATCATACAATATATAAGTTAACAACTCTACAGAGTTGGTTATTATATATTTACCTTAACTTAATTATATCTTAAGCATAGTACTATACTCAGATTGTAAAAATATATAAGCTAACAAACTCTACAGAGTTTGGGCTTTTATATAGGTAGCTTAAGCTTATTCATATCTTAAGCTCAGTACTATGTTTATATCATATAAGTATATTAGCTAACAAACTCTAAAGAGTTTTTGCTATTTGGCTTAAGTCTCATCATATCTTAAGCAATATGGTTACATTATAACATGTATTAGCTAACAAACTCTACGGAGTTTTTTGCTATATGTAACTTAAGCTTATTCATATCTTTAAGCAGTACTATGTTTATATCATATAGGTATTTTAGCTATCAAAACTCTAAAAGAGTTTTTTGCTATTATATATTTGGCTTAAGTTTCATCATAATTTAAGCTTTATGGTTACATTATAACTTGTATTAGCTAACAAACTCTACGGAGTTTTTTTTTGCTATTATATATGTAGCTTAAGTTTCCTTCAAATCTTAAGCTCAATACTATGTTTATATCATATAAGTATATTAGCTAACAAACTCTACGGAGTTTTTGCTATTATATATGTAGCTTAAAGTTTCCTTCAAAGCTCAATACTATGTTTATATCATATAAGTATATTAGCTAACAAACTCTACGGAGTTTTTGCTATTATATATGTAGCTTAAGTTTTCCTTCATAAACTCAATACTAGGTTTATATCATATAAGTATTTTAGCTAACAAACTCTAAAGGGTTTTTTGCTATTATACAATTAGCTTAAGTTTCATCATATCTTAAGCAGTATGGTTACATTATAAAATGTATTAGCTAACAAAACTCCACGGAGTTTTGCTATTATATATATAGCTTAAGTTTAATTATATCTTAAGCTCAGTACTATGGTTATAACATAAAAGTATATTAGTTAATAAACTCTAAGGAGTTTTTTGCTATATACATTTAGCTTAAGTCTAATCTTATCTTAAGCTTAGTACTATGGTTACATTATTAATCTATAAGCTAATAAACTCTACAGAGTTTTGGCTATTATATATGTAGCTTAAGTTAATTATATCTTAAGCACAGTACTATACTCATATTGTAAAAATATATTAGCTAACAAACTCTACAGAGTTTTGCTATTATATATGTAGCTAAAGCTTATTCATATCTAAAGCTCAGCATTATATCTATATCATATAAGTATATTAACTAACAAACTCTAAAGAGTTTTGCTATTATATAATTAGCTTAAGTTTAATCATATCTTAAGCTTAGTACTATGTTTATATCTTAAAGTATTTTAGCTAACAAACTCTAAGGAGTTTATACTAGCATATTAACAAGCTTAAGTCTATTAGTCTTAAGCATTGTATTAATGTTATATATACTTTATCATAATAAGTACTTTGTAATAACCTTTATATGGCAGCTGATAAGTTAGCAGCAGGAATTCATCAGTTCAGTACCTTTATGAAGTTCCCATAGGGTTATTACAATCATCACAGTTCAAATCACTAATTATTAAAATCCAAAGTATTATATATTTCCCACCTCCCTTTCCATTCGGAGTCTACAAGCAAAAGAGCATGAGTCAGGATAAGGAAAATATGTAATTTTTAGAGTAAAATTGATATTTTATACTTATCCTGACTCATGAGGTAAGCCCTCCCATCCTCCCCACATAACACTTTGGATTTCCCTGTAAATTCAAATGTTGGGCTCAGTATATGAGGAGAGAGTGAGGCACATGGGTGGAGGTGGCGCCCTCGTTCCCGAGCTTGTGGAAGGGAGGTAACTCGTGCTGAGTACTAATTAGTGATTTTACATTGAAGGGAGCTTCAATTAGGGAGATACAAGTGTTCCACTATGTTCGCAAGAAGAAGAAGACAAGCAAAAAGAGCATGAGTCAGGATAAGTATAAAATATCAATTTTACTCTAAAAATTACATTTTTTCCATAAAGTTTGTCATTATCTATCACTATTGATGAATATATACTGAGGGAAACAAATAAGGGAACACCACTTCATGGCAGTGTTCCATTATTTATTCTCAGATTTCCTCCAACCGTGCTATTCAAAGCTGGTGATGAAAACTGTAAAATATTAAAGGAATGCTTCAATTTTCCTTTGTGCCTTTATTTGTTTCTGTCAGTATATGTAGAATATCCATAACAGTGATAAAGTCAAACTACCATTGTTTTCTTATCAAAGTCTGCATCAGATGTCAGTAAAGCAATTAGCTGTTAGTATTTTATGAATACGCAACCAGGATCGATTTAGTACTTTCTTACTTGCACTGGTGCAACCCAATATTACAAAGTGCAACCTAGTTATTTGTCTAACTTACCAGGTGCAAGTCAATTTTTGAGAAATAAATCAACAATAAATCTTAACAAATAAGCATAATTATGTTAATATATGTTTCTTCTAAACTTTGAATAATTCAATAGCATATTTCTTTCGTTACATATGGCAATAAAAGCAGTGCAACTAGATATTTCTTTCGTTACATATGGCAATAAAAGCAGTGCAACTAGATTTTTCTTAGGTTGCACTTGGTGCAAGTAGATTAACATCTCTTAAATCAAGCCCTGCACAATGCCATTTAGTAAGTGGTCAAATGCAGCATATGTTATGGTGGCTGAGCGGTCTAGGCGTCTGACTTTGTGTGCAGGCGATTAGGTGCCTTACTATGAGGTTGTGGGTTTGAATCTCGGATGGGACTCAACCCAACAAAAGTACTAGAATCTGTACTTCACTAAGAAAGTGTAATTCCAGATATAACATATGTAACTTTATTTTAAGTCATGTTAATATGCCATTGTGTGAGCTTTGTGAAGGTGATCTGTGTTCAGCTGCTAATGCTAGGGTTACACTATGTTCCCGGCAGCCACGGCAGCACCGTTTTGCTGAAACGTAGAAGGGGGAGACAACATGGGAGGACTGAATGAGCAAACGTGACAGTCCATTTTTGCCGTGGATGCATTGCCAGATTTTTAAACTTTTCAAAACTTTGCCACGACAGTCACGGTACTAATGAGAAACCTGGGGAGGCATGCATATTCCCCGGCATCTCCGGTCCTTTCAAGTTTTGTCACGTTCGGACATGTTTGCTTGGCGTTTTGTCACGGTTGTTTCCCCCTTGCTGCAAGTTTTGTCCTGATTATCACGGCAAGCTAGGGTGTATGGTAGCCGATTCGTCCTGTTCCAGGCGTTTGACAGTTTACAGGGCATGCGAAATACGGCACGTTGCGTTCCCTGGCATTTTCTCTTATCAGCTTATGCTGGCCTTCTTGTTGACAAAGGACTCAATGTATGCCCCCAGCAAACATACAAACACAAAATATTCTTTATTTTGGGGGTTCATGCTGCTCTTGTGTCTCAGGATACAATGGATGCTATTCCTTGGGAGGCCTTGTTTTTACACTGTGGGCACAAATATGCTCCAAAGCTGGTTGACGTCCGTGTTATAGCCGTATAAAGTCTTGACAGAACGCAGTACATGTCAAAACCTTGATGAAAATGTGAGAAACATGAGGGAACCCTTAAAACGTGACAGGCCGGGAGGAAACGTAATGGCATCCGGAGTGGACTGCAGGCCGAACTGTGGTGTGCCTTTGAGCTTCCGGGACTCAGCAGCCTGTTTTTCCCAATGGCCCATCATGGACACTGTGATAGACCGTGAGAAAACGTAGCAGGACCTAACAAAACTTGGAGGAAAAAAGTGGCCAAAATCCCACGGTGCACTACGTTTCAGTGAAACAGGCTGCAGGGAATATGTAACCCTAGCATAACAGGACATATTGATGAAAACTTTGTAATTTTTAATTTTACATTAATGTATTGAATCCAGTATAAATATATAATACCCCCGACATTTCAAAAATATTAACTTACCTTTTATTTCAGTTTGAACAAAAATATTTCCTCAGCTTACCAAGGGTACTTAGTTTTGAATACCTGTAAAATCCACAATACTTTTTGAATAGTTTACTTTTAACACAACTCCCTCACTCATTTGTTTATATGTGATCAGGAGGTCCTGTGATGATGTCACAACCCCACTTCCTGGCTGCTGACCCATCAGTGATCAATGGCGTGGAGGGCATGCACCCAATCAGATCTCAGCATGAGACATTTGTGGATGTGGAACCAGTAGGTTGAAACATTCCTCCAGATGAGCAGTATGGCCGCACATATTTGTTTTATCGTTTAGAGATGTTCTGTAGAGGTGTACTGATATGAGGCCATGATACATATGCCGATAATATTGGTGCAATACGATGAACATAAGTTTATTTTTAAATCTCAGAAAATCGAGATGGGATCATCCTTGATAATCTCCAGGGTATACATTTCGATAAATCTCCATTAGGACCCTGGATGCATCTACGGCTGTCTCAATATTTGTATTACCTCCCTTTGCTAGCTATTTATCCAATCAGGTGTCAACACTGGGAAGTTGAGTGTACCAATCACAAGGCATCTATCATAACTCACTTCTGCTTCTTTTATCAAACCGATTAAACTTGGCAGCACAATTGTTGCATAGGTACTCTGAAAGAGCTAGGAGTTCTTGAATATATTTTTTGAAAGTTTCACACTTGTTAATTTGTATGATTTTCCCCCTAAATCTGAGTTGCATAGTGATCAAAGCTCCGCGGCTGTGGCCGCCATCTTGACATTGGCAAGCTCGGTTGTAACAGCTTATCTGATTGGCTACTGTGAGAAGGCGAAGCTATCAAAGAGAGGTAATACAAGGATACTATTGGAGATTTATCGGAATGTATACCCTGGAGATTATCGAGGATAAGATGGGATACTGTAGGAGAGAAACATATAAGCTTTGGAGCACACTGAAGATTCTGCCCTATATAGCCAGCCAGGAAATATTTGAGAATATGCACAAATAGCCTCTTGAACAGTTTCTATTATAGTTCACATATTTTTACATCAATGTAATCTGTAATATAATGTATCATATCTATTGTGATACAGGAGTTGTAAATTGATGTACTATATCCTGAGCCTCATATTGAGATGCAATATTGTATTGCCATATAGTTGCATTTCTAAGGGACTATTCATAATTTATGGCTAGGAGGGGTGATGATGATTATTATGGAGAAGCATGTACTATGTGAATGACCGCCCCTAAACTTTATGTACAAAATAAGTGATCCCCCTGCACGTCATGTACAAAATCAGCGACCCACCATGTCCTGCAGTGTTTTCATCAACCTCCCTGAAATTAATTTCCATTTTTATACATGACATATATTTGTATTACAGTTTATGATTCACCCGATTCACCTGATCCATACGCCCTGTAATAAATGATCCCCAAAGGCGATTTGTTGCTCTCATACTCTAGCATAGACTTATGGCCTTCGTGATGCTGTGATCACTCTGTAGAAAGAACCCCTCGTGTATTTTTTGTAGATTTCGACATGTATCTGTGTGACCCATATTCTACCTGGGGCGGTGGGGTAGCCTAGTGGTTAAAGCAAAGACCCGTGTTCTATTCCCCACATAGGCTCAATGTGTGAAGCCCATTTCTGCTGTCCGTCGCTGTGAATATTTTGGAATATTGCTAAAAGCGACATAAAACCACACTCACTCACTCACATATCCTATCCAGTTATTACTTGATAATACAATGTGTGAAGCCCATTTCTGGTGTCCCCCGCCGTGATGTTGCTGGAATATTGCTAAAAGTGGCGTAAAACCAAACTCAGTCAGTTATATAGAACAAGCATATGATCTCCCCGAGTACTATTCAGATCAAGTTAGCCCGAAAGTGCCACCCCAACATTTTTTAGATTGTCAAACTGTTCAAACGCGAACAATCATTTACGAAAGTTGCAGTCTTGAGACTGTTGACCTACTGGACAGCCGCTTCTAGACTCAAGAAATACAGAAATATTGACAGCCGACTAAGGTCACTGAAGTTACAAGCCTCAGTACAGTTGATATGAATTAACCCTGCTTTCATACATACTACATAATTTATATGTTGCTTCAAAATATTATTTACACCTATTGTTTTTTGTCCTTTAGATGACTGGGGTGGCCATGAATGTTGCGAAGAAACTCCAGATCAATGTCTATGTGGAACCAATCAATCATATCAAGTAAGTCGGGAACTGTCCCTTAAGGTGCTTCATTGAACCAGCCAGTGGGCAAATGTTCCAGTCTCTGGTACAAACAGACCCATGAAGGTCCGGGTTAGAATATTGATCTTTAGTAACCCATGCTTGTCGTAAGAGGCCGACTACAGGATCAGGTGGTCAGGCTCGCTGACTTGGTTCACACGTCATCGGTTCCCAATTGCAGAGATCGGTGCTCATGCTGTTGATCACTTGATTGTCTGGTCCAGACTCGATTATTTACAGACCGCCACCCTATAGCTGGAATATTGCTGAGTGTGGCGCGTAAAACTAAACTCACACACTCTTGTATTACGTGATTAGACCATGACTGCAGTATGCACTTTTTCAGCAAATTATATGTAAAGTTTGATGTCTGTGAAGCCTAAATTACACAAGATTAGAGGGAAGGGTATAGAACTTTTATATCTGGCTAATTAATTGTCTATGATTTTTTATTCAAATAAATATCAACTTAACATTAAACATTGTGTTTAGTCGTCATACCTATATGTAAGTAAAAAAAGCTGTCAATTTGATATACTTGACACTATTGCATAACTGGAATACAGTAAACTACATTAAAATGAACACACTTAACAAACTGATGGATATAACTAACCTGTCTACTTGCTGTTTATTTTAGGTGGAATGCGTATAATGAACTGTGAAACCCTGCCTTTGTTTGATATTGAAGCAATATGTAGATCACCCTGCCACATGGTTATGGCATTTCTTTGATGAGAAGGGGTGGTTGGGTAGCCTAGTGGTTAAAGCGTTCGCTCATCACTCCTTAGACCCAGGTTCAATTCCCCACATGGGTACTATGCGTGAAGCCCATTTCTGGTGTCCCCAGCTGTGGTATTGCTGGAATATTGCTAAAAGCGGCGTAAAACTAAACTCACTCACTCACCCTTTGATGAGAAATATTCCCAACATAATTGTTAGTCAGAGCAATTCTTGGTTGTGATCTCACTGGACCCATGGCTTGAATCATTGGATAGAAATACCAGCAGCACTGAAATTCGTAGGTGTAAAAAATGCAACTGGTTTAAAATCCTTGAAGTTCTGACGATGATCTGATGTTGGCGTTATGCTGTCAGGGACGTTATTGAACACACTGTCCATGTTTTCTTTTGCAGAGATACTGAGAAGATAACACCTGTGTTCCTGCCTATCCTCTGGCTTAACGAGGTAATGTTACCTGAATATTGTTTTACGTGAATTAAATCCGGTTTAGTTCAAAACTTTCTCAGGTTTTCTGATATGAAGAAAAATTTTGGGTTTAAATTCATTGTGAAGTATTTCTAAGAAATCATTTCAGTAGTCTCAAATCATCCTGCTCCAATCATTTACTAAAACAGATCTGGTGATGCCTGTTTTAGATCTCCTTGTCCATGATTACATCAGCAATTGGTTGATTTTAAACTCCAGAGATTTGTCTAGGACTGGCTACAGAGCCAATATTCAGCCCCAAGTATGCAGCACATGTCATTATTAATTCTCAAATTGGAATTCTACATTTCCCAATTCATAGATCAACTATTAACTAGGGACCATTCATAATTTATGGCTCTGTGTGTGTGTGAGTGTGTGTGTGTGTGTGTGTGTGTGTGTGTGTGTGTGTGTGTGTGTGTGTGTGTGTGTGTGTGTGTGTGTGTGTGTGTGTGTGTGTGTGTGTGTGTGTGTGTGTGTGTGGAGAGAGAGAGAGTGAGAGAGAGAGAGAGTGCGTGCTCGGGTGGGTGGGTGGGTGAGAGAGATATATGATGATTTTAAGGGGATTCACCCCTTTGTTCTGGGGTGCTGGGGGGATCATCAATTTTGTATACATGTACTAGGGGTCAGCAATTTTGTACATGAACTTATGTTTAAAATTATGCTTAGAAATTATGGGAAGGGGAGGGGGGGTAATTGATTTTGTACATGACATGCAGGGAGGGTCACTTATTTTGTACATATATTTTAGGGGGGGGTATTCACATTGTACATGCTTCTCCATAAAAATCATCATCAGCCCCCTTGCCATACATTATGAACGGTCCCCTAGTTCACTCGTTCCCTCAGTCACTCACTCACTCCCTCAGTCACTCACTCACTCACTTGCATGGTACGAAATTACGAATGATGTATAATTAAATATGAAATTGCAGAGTGCGGCTATAGATGAAAAGTCTGCTGCCAAGTTCCGCGAGAAGGTGCAGGAACCTATCAAAATCACTCAGGCTGTGCAATATGGCTTGATTACACTGGGAGCCTTCATCCTCGTCTGTGTCCTCTCCGTCGTCATCCGCAGAACCATGTGTCCTACTGTGAGTACATTGGGCAATCAGGCGATAAACCTTTCGTTTTTTAACACAGAACTCCGCAGTATTCCAGCAATGTGTTGCCAGTCAGTAAATAATCGAATCTGGACCAAACAGTCCAGTCAGGGACATCATGATAGTATGTGTGACTATCGATGCTTTAGTAATTGACTTCTGTTGATAAATGCACAGCGCAAAATACAGGAAATACCAGATACGTTCACATTGATTTAGAGTCATCCGCCCCTGCAGACTTACAGCTTCATTGAGTTTGTTTTAACTGTTTACTTGATCTGGGTTTCAAGTTTCTTGTCAGTTACTAGAAGAGACTGAAAATTCTTCAACTTGTGTTTTTTATATATATAAACTAAACATTCATCTGGAACATGTCTTCAAATGAGACAATTCAAGGAGAAAAAAACTATTACAAGTTGGTCGCTATCGCAATTGTATGTTGCAATAGCAGTGTAGGAAAGATAGCCCGTCCCAACGTCCGAGACGGGTGAATTTTGTGGAGGACAGGTTAAAAAAACAGTCAGTTTTAGCAAACCAATGACATAATCATTATTATATTTTAACCTTTTTGAATATTTACTGCCAAAAGATACTAGAATAATCAAACATATAAAATTATCGCAAACGAAATCGATGAGATATGTTTGCTATAAGAACAGAGTTCTCTCCCTTAGCTTCTTGAAACGAGTTTAGTAAGGAAGTGCGTGATTGGCCGGTTGTCACAGAATGAACGAATAGGAAAACGTGTTTCTTGTTTCCCCCAATTTCAAACCAAAATGGCGCGACCCTCATCGGTCGGTCTGCTGCTATGACTGAGCGAATTTACTCTTATTTTAGTCAATGTTGAATGTGCAACTGGCAAGGATGCTGATTCAGACTATGACTCTGACTTTTCAGATCTTCATAGAGATGTTGATGACTTGTCTGAAGACTAGTTCTGTCATGTTGTAACCAGATGATTCCTCTAGGAGAGATTTAACAGTCCAAGCTCTGTGTGTGCATATTCAATTATGGCTTAAAATAAAACAAACCAGTTTTAAGTCTTGAAATGGTGTTTTATTTATATTTGGAGGACAGGCTAGATTTTGGCAGGACTGGTAAAAAATTTGACCAGCCAGTCCTGTGGACAGGCTAGATTTTCTACATCTTTCCTACACTGGCAATAGACTTTTGTTATCGCAATAGTTGTTTCCCCTCAATAGTCCCCGAGTAGACATGGTAGATCAACCCTTTGTGCTTTCGTGACATGTTCTGAGCAGTAGCACTCTCTCACATATTAGTCCGATGTATTGATGACATTTCTTCATTTCCTTTCCAGAAGGACATTCCCCTTCATGACCTTAGTAAAGAAACAGATCCTCTCTTGAACTAGTTGAAGAAGAGTGCTTCTTGAAGGTCACCAACGTCCAACTTTACAGTTGATATGAAAACCGCCGACAAACTTAAGGAGGGACAAGAAGTCCAAACTTCTACTCAACAAACTTTACTGAACTCTTCTATGAGACATATTTTGTTATCAAACAGTTATTCATCTGCACATGTTTCATCTGAAGGAACAAAATATCAAGCAATATTCGATTTAAGTGATCAAAAGTTGGTTTGGAATATTAACATCATTTGTACATCACTTGGAGTGCTATAGAATACACAATAGATGTATGCAAGGCCAAAGCACCAACATAACTGTTTCTGGTATTCTGAACCCTCAATCTTGCTATATAAGGAAACTCCATCAACCTGGACTGTTGTATTTCCAGAATTATCAAATTTCTCCAAACGAAATATTTGATGGTCGAGCTAGACTACTTTTAGATTTAACCATGTTTTGTTGTCATTTTAAACTTAATGCTGTTTGTTGGGTTGCAAATCTGATGTTACATGCTTAAATCTACAAGAACCTAGTTCTACATGAAACAGAATGTGTATTTTGTAATTGTGATCAGCTACCTGAAGTGCTAACAAACAAAGATTTGCCTACCTGTGTGTTGGATGTGTGATTATGGAGAAACAATTATCTTTCTGTTTTTGATTGTTCTACTCTTCAGGTAACGTCAGCCTGGAGATATGATGGCCTGTGTATAAACAAGTGGTTGTTGATTCATTCAGCAAGATTTATGGAAGTATGTCTTGTGTGTAACTGCTGCATTCTTCTTTTTACATTGTCTTTCAGTGCCAATATTTTCAGCTGCTCCAAACATGGTGAAGATTCTCAAACATGACAACATCAACAAAACTATCAGACATATTTGTTCAGCCCATAATGAGACAAATTTGACATTTTGTAGCATGGCAAAGAGGCTCCCTATCTTCAATAGTTCTTTGTCCTCTTAACCAGTGTGTTTGAAGATTTTCGACCATTTTGAAATTGCGTAAATAGCACAGTGTTATCTGATCATAAAATCAACATATGTATGAACAGAGACCGTATAATCTATTATAATCTCTGGTATGAAGCAGTATAATAACAATACCAGGGAGAAAACAAAACAACTGCTGATTTTATCTGGTCAAAGATTCCACACAACAGAACATCTGGCATTATTGCACTGGGCCAACTTGTACAAAGTGATCTTAAGACTACCTATAACGGGAGTTACAACCCTCTAAGTGCAAGGTTCGTTTTGTGCAGTTGGACCTAGGTCAGTGATTTGAGGGTGAATTCTTATTCCCTATTGGAAGTATGCAATGAAAGTTGTTTTTTAAGGCTTTGGAAGGATTAACTGTAATAACCATCTCATCCTTCAGGGTACCCCTCTGATGTTGGGCGAACGTAGACACATTTCAATCAGAGATTTGCTACTATGTATCAATGCCTTTAGCCCTTGTGATATCTTTGAGAAAGGATAAGTGGTTGGCTGTGCAGTGAGTAGTTGTAGATGCAGAATTGCGTGCATCTTGATCTGTGATATTCTTGGATTTGAACAGTTCAACGTAGTGACTGCACTGTGAAAGCATTGTCTTCTTGACTTCAAACTAGCACATATTGTTGTCCATTAAACGGCTCAATAAATTAACATATATTAGATTTTCATCCCAACCTGATATCACTGCTTTTATTTCCCAAACTTCTTGACTTGATGAAATACAATACATAGTCCAACCAAACACATTTCTGTGAATCAGAATCATTGGAAGTTAGTGTATTCAGATTCGTCAGGCATTTTTTGGTAAAGTTTCAAACTTATATAAAATGACTCCCACCTGCCTCTTAAAACAGGAGTTGGGATGAATATCTAATACTTTGCTGCTGCCCTTTGGCTGCTCAATATTCCAACCAGTTTCTTGTCTTTCAATTTGACTTATACATGTCAAAGGTGCTGTTCCAATTTGTGCTTAGTCAGTAGGCCTGTGACAAGCTATTTTTTCATCTTGAACAATAATGGCTCAAATATGTAAGAACTGAACTATCTGTGGATGTAAAACAACATTACTGTGAAAGATTGAAATCTTTAAAACATCATGCATGGCTTACCAACATGGATGACATGTTTTTACAAGGGAGATTATTCAGTATGTAAATGAGAGTTATCTGCTCTTGCTTATCAAGACTCTTGTCATGATGTCTCCATCCATCATTTAGGTTGGTGGTGTTGTCATGGCAATGTATATATATATCTACATGGATGGCTTCACCTTTTGTCATATGTTCAACTTTGTATTACTTAAACTTGTAGATTAACCATGATACTCTTTTGCCAGTATGTTTTGTTTTTTTGTTGTTGTTTAAAGTCGCACTCAGCAATATTCAAGCTATATGGTGGTGGTCTGTAAATACAGTCTGGACCAGACAATCCAGTGAACAACAGCATGAGCATGGATGTATGCAGCTGGGATATGGTGGCATGTGTCAAATAAGTCAGCGAGCAAGAGCATGGGTTGCTGAAGACCAATTCTTTCCTGGATCTTCAATGGCCTTGGTCAGTACAGATCGCACATACTCATTTATTTCTCTTTTAAAGCATGAAAGTGACCTATTATGAAAATGAAGCTGTACATTATGTTTTTGTGTGTGATGGTTATCACTTTTAAGTCAGTGTTTTAAAAACATGTTAATTTGGATTACTTTCTTGCAAAGAAATATTCGTGTCAAGTTTGTGAGTATTTATTGAGTGTAGTAAATGTTTTGAAGTGAAATGTTGTTTCCATATTTTGAGTGACTGACCTTTCAGTAATCCAGGAAGACTTTAATTTTGAAAACTTACTGATAATTTGTTTTAGAAAATACTCAAATAATATTTCAAATAGTTCATCACTTACTTTTATGAGAACTGTAAAGTTACTTATATTATTTTCTAATTCAGTTAATCAATATGAAATAGAGAATTATGATAAAGAGTATTTTTTCAATAATTTATATACCAATATTCACTTATTTTGATATTCAGTAATCACCATGGTTACATCCGTCCTGTAATTTGATTCCAGTGCTGTCAGAGTTGTACTTGTTCTTCTGCAAGTCTCAGTGAAAAAGTCATTGATATGCTGAAAAGCCCTTTTTGAGAAATGACATATGGCAGACTTACTATCTTACTTTTTCTTGCTATCTGTATATTTTCTGTATGTGTCGTGCCTTGACAACCTCTGTGATTCTTTGGTACATATATGTGTATAAAGTGTCTCTTCTGTCCTATTTTCACATTGAATATGTACAGTTTTAAATATAAGTTGTCAATTATTAGGTGGAATTTCTGAGTGTAATCTTGTTTAGAATTCTTCCATCCACTCTGGGAGCCTCAAACCATTTCAAGTTGTAAAATATATTCACAGCTGGGAGTTGAAATATAAAACAAAACATTCCAGATGTTGATAAATATGATTGATAGACAGGGGAGAATACAGCTTTTTGAGAAAAGAGGGGGTTCATCTTCACCCATTATCACGAGAGTTTCAATGGTCATTTATAAACATTCAGGACAAAAGGGGCCCCTGCACACACACACACACCCCTCTCTGGATCCGCTTATGATAGATGTGTTGGTGGATGTTACACTTACGTTCAGCAATTTGATGTGCAGGGTTGTATCCCTTGAGCTACACTCCTATGATTGTGTAACAGTTTATCTGTGTCATTCAGGAGAAGCAATCCTGTTGCTTGTCTTCATTCTTCTTGGTATCTTTGTAAGAGGTACTATATGCAGTGTCCGAAATCTCCACGGTCACTGGCCCGGCTGGATAGTGAATTTTCATGGGGTCATTTTGTAAATATATCACTCTCTCCGACTTGTTAAGTTGTAGTACACTTATAAATCTTGTGAGATTATGGCCTGATAAAATGTTCGTCATATTAGCAGCTTAATGATGAAACCCATGTCATGCCGACAATATCTTACTCTCATCTATTTGTAATCTTTTGCTTAGTTTCTACATTGAAATTCCGGGCTAGTGAATTATTTTTTTGGCTAGTAACATTCAGGCATAGCTGGCCCGGCTGGCTGTATCATGACTTACTGTCCGGTCTAATGTGTTGAAATATAGCATTCTGTTTGATGAGAGACAGATGCTTATTGCTTCATAAGAAAAACTGATAGAGCACATGCATTTCCACTGATTCCAGTGTAACAGAATTGTTTCTATTCTGTGAACACAGGGTCAGAGTATTTGTGAGTTTTAGGGTCTCTCAGGTGACTCTTGAGGACTCTCAGGTGACTCTTGGGGACTCTCAGGTGACTCTTGGGGACTCTCAGGTGACTCTTGGGGACTCTCAGGTGACTCTTGGGGACTCTCAGGTGACTCTTAGGGACTCTCAGGTAACTCTTGAGGACTCTCAGGTGACTCTTGGGGACTCTCAGGTGACTCTTGGGGACTCTCAGGTGACTCTTGGGGACTCTCTGGTGACTGTTGGGGACTCTCAGGTGACTCTTGGGGACTCTCTGGTGACTCTTGGGGACTCTCTGGTGACTCTTGGGGACTCTCTGGTGACTGTTGGGGACTCTCAGGTGACTCTTGGGGACTCTCAGGTGACTCTTGGGGACTCTGGTGACTGTTGGGGACTCTCAGGTGACTCTTAGTGATTGTTAGGAATACTCATGGGGACTCTCAGGTGACTCTTGAGGACTCTCAGGTGACTCTTGAGGACTCTCAGGTGACTCTTGAGGACTCTCAGGTGACTCTTGAGGACTCTCAGGTGACTCTTGGTGATTGTTGGGAATACTCATGGGGACTCTCAGGTGACTCTTGGGGACTCTCAGGTGACTCTTGGGGACTCTCAGGGGACTCTTGGGGACTCTCAGGTGACTCTTGAGGACTCTCAGGTGACTCTTGAGGACTCTCAGGTGACTCTTGAGGACTCTCAGGTGACTGTTGGGGACTCTCAGGTGACTCTTGGGGACTCTCAGGTGACTCTTGGGGACTCTCTGGTGACTCTTGGGGACTCTCTGGTGACTGTTGGGGACTCTCTGGTGACTCTTGGGGACTCTCTGGTGACTGTTGGGGACTCTCAGGTGACTCTTGGGGACTCTCAGGTGACTCTTGGGGACTCTCAGGTGACTCTTGGGGACTCTCAGGTGACTCTTGGGGACTCTCTGGTGACTCTTGGGGACTCTCAGGTGACTCTTGGTGACTCTCAGGTGACTCTTGAGGACTCTCAGGTGACTCTTAGTGATTGTTGGGAATACTCATGGGGACAATCACAACTGCTCCTGCAAAATCTCTGATCCCGTAATAATTTTGATTGGGATTTCCATGTTTTTGAACAAAACTAAGCAAAGAGAACTGAACTATAGATAATTTTAACTTTGGTGTCTTATCAAAAATGAAATGTTAGTTATATGTTACTGTACAGTGGCGGACCCAGAGACTCCCTGAGGAGCACTTCCCCTAACCTTCGGACTTCATGATCCTGGATCCTGTTGTACATATGACTAGGAAATTAGTTTTCATGGCTCATTGTACTCAAATTGTTTACAGTCATATTTGTGTCTACTGAAGCATGTATGTGCTATTGTGTGGTGATTTTGAATATTACCTGTTATGATGTAGTTGTCACTCTATGCTCGGACTAATGCTGGGACTGAGCCCGGGTTGTTGACTGTATACTATACCTGTGTTGTTAGATTTGAACTTTGTGAATTTTGACGTTGCTGATCAATTATTGTTAACTAAATATCTATTGATTATCAATAAACATTGGAGATGTAACTTTGAACAAAAATGCCAAAAATTGTCTGAAACAAATGAACATATTTCACCTCACAGGTAAGTTGTGACATGTTTTCCATGGATTAATAACAAAACAGCGTCTTCAACATAAGTTGGAAGCAACCCTTGTTTAAATACCTAACTTTGTGACTAAATCAAAACATTATTCTATCACAAAGGTTTATGTATGATATTATCATGAAATAATTTTCATATTGATGATCATTTAAATTTTTTCCTATGGAAGACATTTCGGATTTGTTGAAGTTGATTCTGAACCATGGATTCACTAGCCATTTTAATGGTGCATTTAACAAGCAAAACTGACAAAACTTATGGTCATTATTTCAAGTAATTCAGAAGTTACATGTGAACCATAACATATCTGTAGTGGGAGAAATTCTTTATGTGTTTTAGTATCTCCATTATTCCCCAAACTTGGCTATTTTGGTGCAGAGAGCTGGTGCTTTTTGAGTTGATTTTTGTATGTTTTTGTTGTGTGATGCCTCTGTCTAGTCAGTGGAACTCCGGGTCGATTTACAGATTTCAACTTGTTTTTTATCGGAAAGACAACAAATAGCACCTTTGTATTCAGCTTCTACAAGCTGTTGTAAACAGGTGGTTCAGGGGAATATGGCTGCTGATGGCTTGTGGATTGTGCATGAGGATAGTATATGTTTGTGGTGATGGTGTGTGTGTGATGATGGTGTAGGCGAGGGATGGATGGTTGTATGTGAGGAGGAATGATGTATTAACGTCAAATGAAAGGTTACATCAAGACTTAATATGTATTGTGTAAAACACATTTTCATTTTAATATTGTCATTTTACTTATTTTATATACTTTTTGCTGATAACTGTCAGTTGTGTTGCTTATCATTTCAAAGTTTGCATATGTTTGTTGATATCCTTTGTTTGACTTGCTTGTTGATATGGGCATGTTGCTTGAAGACTTGGTAACGTAAGGGTCAACATTTTCACCTATACATGTGCAGGTTATATTAATTGGTTTATTATATTTGACTTCTTTATCTTTGTTTGCAGTATTGCATTATGGTACACAGGTTGGAACACAGGGTTCAAATGTCAGGTGAACAATTTGGCTGCACTGCTTTTTTATTACTTTACATTTTTCTGAAAACTGATGAGGGTTGTAGAATGTTTTATCTGTATATTATAACCACACTGCAATACCAAGAAACACAACTGTGCAGAATGTCACCTGGAACTTTTAATACAGTTTTAGTTATCAGGTATATATTTTATGGATAACACAGTGCTCAAATGACCTGAGAAAACTTTATTAAAAACAATTCAGTATCAAATAAATGGCTTTTAGAGGCAGGATTGAAAGTGTTGTGCCAATTCCGGAGAAACCTATTTTTATCCTTACCTATGTTTCGCCTTGTTATCCCCCTGTATCTCTCACATGTGCTATAGTGCTTTGATCAAGTCGATGCCTTAAATGGCAGTGTCCTGAGTGAAAGTATTGTCCTGTTCTGTCCTGTCAGGAGGTTAGGAGTCTTTTAACATGCCCAGATCTCTTTTGTTTGAATATCTCCACAGAGAAGAAGATGGTATTCAATCCTTTAATTGGAATTTAATTTACGAAAAGGACCCTGACCAATTATTAATTTGTTGGTGTGTTAGTTGCATCCTCTAAGCAAGACAGGAATCTGTGATTATAGGTTTGAATCCCAGATTTTCTAGGGCCCCGTAGCACCCTACCAGTGCCCCGTAGCACCCTACCAGTGCCCCCCAGCACCCTACCAGTGCCCATGAGTATCACTGAAGTGGTAATAGGACTTGCATCACTTTGGACCTGCCTCCTGCAAGCTCAGGCATGGTGATGCAGTAATATGTTTGTTTAATCACTTCTAACATAGGAATTATTTTGAAAAGGTATCGTTTCTCTCCTGCCATCTGATATTTTGGGGTATTCCCTTATTGGTTCCATAATTGGTTCCATTTGAAAATGGCAGAAAATGTCATTGATTAAAAATTCTTTGAGATCAGTCCAACTGGAATTATGAAATTGTAGCTTCCTTATTTTGTTTACGGATGAACTTGTTAGGTGTGCTTTGTTATATTATAGATTTCATTGTTTTACACTGGTGTTTGGCAGTTCTCTAGTGAATGTTCTGAGACAAATGGTCCTGTTGAATTTGCAGAATTCTATTCTACGACCAGAAAAATAGTTTTAGTCGTCTGCTTTAGACACAGACCCCATGTTACATTTCATGACCTTATATATAAATTGGTGTTCGTTTATGTTATTGGCTTTGTTAGATGTTGCCAACATTCTATATTTTGCACGATATTCTTATGTTCACATTTGGTTAGGAGTGAAATGGTTAACACGTTTTGTTTTGTTTTTCTATGAAATGTCATCCTTCTGGATTAGGTGAAAATCGACACATGATAAATTGATAAATATGATGTGTTATGGTCTGAAAAATGAAATTTCCCGAGTGATGCCATCAAGATTCACCTGTACACATGTGCCATTATTTAATCACATGCTATCTTTTTCATGTATTCTAATATTCTGTACGAATAAAAACCTGTTTGAATGATCAAATACTTCCTTTCAAAACTTGATAAGAATTTGTTCCTTGTAATCTCTGTAGTGGAATTTTCCCTTTGATGGGGAGTTGGGGTACGTCACGCTGAAGATCTGGGTTTGATTCCCCACATGGGTACAATGTGTGAAGCCCATTTTTTGGTGTCCCGCGCAATGCAGCTGGATCCATACTTGCTCACTGACTCCCTTAGATGCAAATGCAAGTCTTCCGAGTTCTACCCCATCTGCCAACTGGCATATAGGCAAAAATAAACCCAGTTGCCTCATACTCAGAACTTTGTTAAAAATAGAAAAGTATTTTTTTCTGTACAAAATTGTGAGAAAAAGTGTATTGAAATTAGTCTATCAACTATTGTCTATCGCGGGAATTGATCGTTAGTTCTCAAATTTGTACGGCGCTGTGAGTTCGCATGCAAACTTTGGAGTTGTTTCCTTTTTATAAAGGGAAGCTACTCTAAATTTAACTTCGGACCTCTAACTTTAGGACTTGGGTCCGAGAGGGAACATGTTGTTACGACATGCAGAGAAATATTTCGGACATATTTTCCCCTGATTTGGGATAGTCTTAGTGGTCAAGCAAAGTTTTATCAAAATGACTGCGCAAGGTTTTTTCGTTCTTTCATGCCTTTGGGGCGGTCGTGTAGCCTAGTGGTTAAAGCGTTCGCTCGTCACGCCGAAGACCCGGGTTTGATTCCCCACATGGATACAATGTGTGAAGCCCATTTCTGATGTCTCCCACCATGATGTTGCTAAAAGTGGTGTAAAACTAGACTCACTCACTTTCATGCCTTTCGGGAGGGGATTTCGCATCAGACTGGGAGTCCCTTATTACCTTCATGTAGATAACAGTGCGTATGTATAAGAGCCGACAATTAATATCCTGCATGTGCCTGGGATTTTTTTGGGAGAAAAGAGATTATGTTTAGTCACTGTTTCAAAACACGTGATTTATTCTGTATAAACGCCCCCCGGCCCTAAAAATGTTCATCCACTACCTGTCGGCTCTCTACTTGTGGAGACAAGATACCAGGCGAGCATTGTATCGTATGATGTCTTTTGTACATTGTAACTAGGCACCGATTGTTCGTTACTAATGGCATGTCCATCGTTGGTGACATCATCACATCTCACAATATACTGGGCGGTGGAATGGGCTAGTTAAGTGTTGGCTCAAGCACGACTCACAAGGGTCCGCACGTCGTACCGAGATGCCTTCTATACATAGACGGAAAATGTCCAGGTTTGATTCCCCCTTTTATGATCAGTGAAATCTACTCCGTGATATTCATTGAATGAAGAGATACGTATTCATCTGTAACTTATTCACACACTCAAAATAACTAGATATCACATATTTGTTTTATTAAAAAAACATTTTTAACGAAATCATCTTCTTGAGACACTGACGGATACGTCATGGTTTCACTCCAGGGAACCTTGAAACCTGTACATTTGGCAGTTGGGATTTACAAGGGCATTCTGTCATCTACATGATGAACTTGGTATATTCAACAGTTGCAATGTCCATGTCTTTGACTACGTTCCGAAATACGTGGCGTAACCATTTAGACCAATATGGACGGACACGTGAAGGTTCTGGCAGTCTGGTGGAGTCTGCAAGCCCAGCTGTAAATGAAAGAATCATGAAATTCTGTAAATGATAAATATCACTTTTTGATTGAAAAACGGCACCAGAAAATTCCAGTCCTAATACGTTTAATTGTCTTTGTTTGTTTGTTTGTTGTTTAACACTGCAGTCAGTAATAATCATGCTATATGACGGCCGTCTGTATATAATCGAGTCTGGACAAGTGACCAATAGTATGAATATCGATCTACCCAATTGGGATATGATGAAATGTGTCAACCGAGTCAGCGAGCCTGACCACCTGACCCCTTTAGTCGCCTCTTACGACAATCATTGGTTACTGAAGATCAATTTTAACCCGGATCTTTACGGGTAGTATTGGTAAGGATTTGAAAGGAACGTGAAACTGTTTGGTCTGTATATTTCCCGACTTGTTTCAGGAAACAAATTAAGATATTATACGAGGGGTGTATAAAAGGCTCTGCAATTCATGAACACAAACTGTATTGGTCCACTTGTTATTCCTCCATTATAGAACTTCTGATTGAACACCAAATTAGTCCGCAAAGGCATAATCGTCCCTAAAACGGCGTCTCGTTGAAATGAGGTGGCGATAATAGGTGTCACTTGGAGCAAGGATTCGATTCCCAACATGAGGTTCACTTTGGTGTCTCCCGCCGTAATACTACTGAACCCGCGAAGATCCGGATTAAAATTGGTCTTCAGCAACCCACGCTTGTCGTAAGAGACGGGATCAGGTGGTCAGGCTCGCTGACTTTGTTGCCACATGTCATCGTATAGCTAGAATATTGTTGAGTACGGCGTTAAACAATTAAGAAACAAAACAAAACGTAATATTAAAGTAGGTTCCTGTGCTACTTAATCCAGGACCAATGAATGACATGAACTTACCTCAATGAAAGGACACATCGGTTGTCCCCTTTCTGTGAGAAATAGCGTCCGGTGTCGAGATGGAGTTTGTAGCGACCCCCAGGGTTCAGGCTTCGACCTTTTAGCAGCTTCATGTGTCCGTCATCCAGGGTACATCTGGATACAAAAAACACACCGTCAGTATAAGCCGCGATCCATTCATCAACTGCAGCATCGGAACCATTGAGGCTCAATTGCTGCAATCAGCGTTCGAAATTAACGTGGGTCCTTAGGCCCGAAGCCGACTGAAAACCACCTGGATCCACAGCTTTTTTTTCTGCAGGTCCTTATGACCGACAGCTTTTTCATCCCCAATAACTAAGAGTATTATTTCCATATTAAAATATAGGGCCTACACTTTCTGATCAGGACCCACAACGTTTTGTGGTTCTGGGTCCTTAGGACCTGCAGCTTTTCAGGGTTAAGTGCGATCACTGGCTGCAATGTTGTTATATGTTCGGCATCAGTGTCATTCCTATGAACTGACAGACAAAAGAAAGTATACACCTGCAAACTAAATAATTTAATAAAACAATATAGTCATCAAAACTTTATAAGTCGAACAATGCCCGAAAAACTGCAGCGTAGGGTCCAAAACACACCTATGGTACATGCATCAAATGCATCACCGCCGTAAAACCATTCTTGCTCCACTTAACAGCCTGACTCAAATATGGGTGTATTTACCACATTGTTAGAATACACCCATGGTGCATTCCCCGATAGTGAGTCCAGTAATATTTAAGAATGTACGCGATGTCTAATATCCGATCTTGCTGCTCACTGCTGCTACATTTTTTGTATCATATTAACGAGTTAACGCATACACGCTCCAGTTCATACAATGGTGCATGTATGGGACGATTTATACGTCTGTTATATACATTAGATGTGCCTTTTTTCCTTTTGAAGTCCAATTTGAATCCTTATGCTTTGGATTTACTGCATTTGCATTCCTTTTTACTAAAGCCTACACCCATGAAGGTCCGGGTTAGAATGAACCTTCAGTAACCCATGCTTGTCGTAAGAGGCGACTAACGGGATCGGGTGGTCAGGCTCGCTGGCTAGGTTGACACATGTCATCGGTTCCCAATTGCGCAGATCGATGCTCATGCTGTTGATCACTGGATTGTCTGGTCCAGATTCGATTATTTACAGACCGCCGCCATATAGGTGGAATATTGCTGCGGCGTAAAACTTAACTCACTCACTAACGTATTAAGACAACTTCATCAACTTCAACACAAGCCATCATCCGGGTGTCAATGTCAGTGTAACGCAACCCACACTGGTATAGAGAGATTAAACCCTGCCGCTCGAAAACGTATGACGTCCGAAAACGTAGGATCCGACGATAATGTTACAGCCTTATCACGACGGTAATTAGTCGAGTCTATGGCAGACAAACTAGTGATGATAACACAAGCAACGTCCCATGCCGAGGGGGCCCACCCAATGCATCCTTGTAAAACAAGTCACCAAACTTGATCCTCCCGTCTATTTATTATGACAAGCAACATAGTGCTGAACAACTTTTCCTACCAACAGGACTTGTGTAAGTCGACTATTAGATATATTAGAAGTTACATACATATTGAGCTGCAGAAAGTATGCAATGAGATGGAATAAACGTTTCACCCTTCTTCCACTGCCTCCCAACCCTTCTTTGTCGTCTGCTCGTACAGAGTGACCGGAAGTGATTTTGCTGGGCTCCCGGAAGTGGTGTCGAGAACTTGCAGTAGAAAGGTTGGTCTCACTGAGATCTGTTAAAAACATATGAAATTTATTTAGATTTTGACAGTAAGTTGAATTAAATTTTTCACCTTCTTTGTGATCAAAATGTTAGCTGTTGCATGCGTAGATATATCCACCTATATGAAAGTTACAGATATTGTGCATCATACTGGTTTTACGAAACTCGTGTCGGAATTCATGTATTCCACGAACGAGAATATAGGTAAAACATAAAATGAAATCTTAATCGAGTATAGGAAAATCGATATGATGCACATCATTTCTTAATTACCCAGTATGTTTTTATCGTTCCGAGGACTTCTTAAGAAATTCAAGAAATGCACTGTTCACGACTTAGTAGAAACGTCAACAAACTTGATTATCATCTACAATGACGTCATTCCGACCGTACCTCATAATAAGATTCGAATGAAGTCACTAGTCAATGTCCGAATGAAGTTAACTATACACTGGTGTGCGTGAAGCGATATTTTGCACTGTACTATTTCTATAAATTAGGTTAACACGATGGATAATGGGTTCAATCTTTTAAATGTCTAACACATATTATGTCTTGCAGAGATGCCTCTAAGCCTACTACAGGGAGACGCCACAAATCGTAAGTACTATACTCACATGCGACGTGAATGTCTTCATTTTCCCTTCTGTCTTGCCACCAGGAACCGGTTCCACCTCTACAGCGGCGTCTGAACAACAAACACTCATTTTCTCACCAAATTATCCCCAAATCAGTAAATCACGACGTCCTCTCGTGCAAGGTGTTTATCAAGACCCACACAACAATCTCTCACCAAGTTCGATTTTTATCTCACCTGCTCTAAGAGCCATAATACCGGCAGTGACGAATGCGATAGTTGTTTGATATGGACTATTCAATAGCTATCGATGTTGATAAAGACGACGGCTTTGACGTTGTAAACACCATGGTCCGCTATGCTGGAGGAGTTTACGTAAGCCCCCTGGCCAACAAGGTCAATTAACATGTTCAAATATTTTACATTCCCCAATATAAGGTTTCTTTAATGGGCCGCTCTTGCGACAGGGTCGTTTTTCTGATACGGTCTTGACTCTGAATGGTGCGGGTGATTTATTAATATCGGGTTATTGGTTCGGGTTATCGGGGCTGTTTTGTTGTTGAAAGCAAACTTCATGCATAAATACAAATGAATGGCTGTGAACTTTCCGGTTCAGGATTATATTTCCACCACTAAAACCCGTTCTACCCAGCAGGCGGTATGTTTTACGGGCAACGCGAATATAAACAAATATTTACCTTGCTCAGTCTGTATTGGAAAGAAAAGGGCTCATATAATTCCTGTGTCAAAGAGCAATTACCTAACGGAACAAACAACCCGGTCATATCCAATATGTTGTTGGATATGAGACATACAGTGGAGTTGACTCTTTGTTTTGCTGAGGCGGTAGAGTTCCCTTGTATAGTTTTTGGAAATAACACTCGACCCTTATCTTATGATTTCCTTCGTATTTTCATGACTGAGTTTTAGAGTGCATGTTATGGTGGTCACACGACCACGTGATTATTTGTTTTGTTTGTTTGTTGCTTGTCTGGATCTACGCAATTGGGATACGATGACATGTGTCAACAAAGTGAGCAAGCCTGTCCACCCGATCACATTAGTCGCCTCTTACGACAAGCACGTTACTGAAGACCAATTCTAACCCGGATCTTCAAGGGTTCGGTCTGTATGTACTGCATTGGTTTCTAAACAAATGCTGATCTGCTACAAATTCGCCATTTTTATCAAAATTAGAGCTACATACTATTTCCTATTTTTGATGATAATCCTAGCTTAAGGCGTAAATTTAACTAATATTTGTATCATTGTATTTTGAAAAATATATTTAAGAAACGTAATATTGACATTATATCAGGATAGTATTTGAACAAGACAAACCTCAAAGACACATACCCAGACGGATGGCAATATCATTAAGATCAGATATTACACACAGATGAGATTCTGCTTCTGGATGTGACAAAGATTGGCGTATTAGAAACTTCCCCTAACGTGACCTCCGAAAGAAAAGTTATTCAGAGAGGTATTGCACAGGATTAATACCACAAACTCATTAAAAGCACATCTTCCCTCCGCTCTTATACGAAGATCTCGACATCAAGTAAAGTATACCTGGAGCTTCCTATCGGAAGGACTTGAGGTCTTGAGCCAATCAGATATCGTCTATTCTAGACTATCTGGCTTCATTTCTTTGCCGGAAAACAAGTTTCATTTGTAACGAAAGAATACAATCATACCGGGGCCAAGGGGTCGACAACAGTTCAGTTTACTTATTTAGTCAGTTAACTCCCTTTCTACGGGAAGATGAAGACAAACCATACATAACTCGAATATTCCTTCGATGATACTCCTTGGACGTGCATCCTATACGGAGATCAGTGATGACAAGGCGTATGACTAATCTACAATTATCTTCATTAACATTCGTGATCACTCGTATATTCCGATTATTTAAAGTGAGTTTAGTTTTACGCCGCTGTTAGGAATTTCCCAGCAATATGACGGCAGGGGACACCAGAAATGGGCTTCACACATTGTACCCATGTGGGGAATCGAACCCGGGCCTTCGGCGTGACGAGCGAACGCTTTAACCACTAGTCTCTCTCTCTCTCTCCCTCTCTATCTATCTATCTATCTATCTATCTATCTCTCTATCTCTCTTCACTCTCTCCATCTCTCTCTCTGAACTCAGTAGCTCTCAGATAATATTTCTTCATCTCCACCAACCATCAGTACTGTCTCCCTTGACTCCATTTCATGGTAATATCTGCTCCTTGCATGAACGTGATCAGAAACTATGAATTGATGTATTGATTGGTCATCGATTGAGGTAATCAGGATTACTCAGCGTCAAATGGCATTGTTATCTGTCATTGTTGGAGGCCATTGCCATGGCCACTACTGACCTAGCTGTCGACAGAGGTAAAAGGAACGGAAACAGAGACTGTCCATTACTAAAGTACTGTCGGAAATAGGAAAAAAACTGTTGTTTTTCACATTTATATCTACAATTTATGTAGTTAATATGTGAAAATGTGAAATATCTGTTAAACTGAGTTCGGCCTAAATACAATCTCAGTGGTAGGGAGATAGGAAACGTGTAAAAAGGACTTTACTGAGGAGAGATTAGTGCAGAAATGAGCAATGCGGGTTTTTTCTGTCCAAAGCGACTTATTTGGAACAGACCATGGCTTTATGCAAATTAGAGTGCGATGATATTGCATACAAAGATCAATACTCATTTTGAAATTAGACCTACCTTCATTATAAACGATAGCTGACTATCTTTAATACTGAAAGTATTAAGGATGTAACATATGTTATATTTGGGATGTAGCTTCCATGGAGTCTCACTATCACTATAAAAACAAACAGGTAGGAAGGGTCGTCTCAAAAGCAAAACCAGGACGGGTGTCGTTTATGGTGGTTGGGGTCGAGCTGGGGGATAGATATATCAGCTAAGATAAGAATGATAATCCTTTTGGGGAATTAAACTTGGGAAGTTAACGGCATGTCATAACAATTTACAAATAATATCCAGTCCTGTCTGTCTTCGGTGGTCATGCAACCTATATATTTGGAGACATTTAATACGATGGATGCTTTTAGCTTTTCTATGGGTATCATACTCTTTTACATAATTATCTCAACATAAACTTTATGAAAGAAAACACGTAAGATGTTAATCAATAGATGAGACATATTCAGCGCACAAGAAAAAGCATAAAATATCTTCGAGATGACCCCTTGTGCCTGTAGGCAGCACATGCATTTCATGCCAGGTGAGTCGACGGTCCGTCGTCATACCTAGCTGAGCGACCAAATTGCCATCTATAGTCTGATCTAAGTTTTGCGCGATTTTACGAGTAAACTTGCTTTTCTGGATATCCTATTACGCATCCCACTGAACGCCCAGTTAGTCCGATGTGGGTTATTTTGACATATGCTATTTGCAATTGTGTAAATATTAGGGATACAGAGTAACAGCCTAAAAACAGTTTTTTCTTCTATTTCCGACTGTACTTTAGTGTTCTGTGGCAGTAGTTTCAATTATAATATAAGTGATGCATTATAAGAACTATTTATTTATATTTACAATGAAACAAAGAAGATATTCTTATTCGAAGGCCATTTACATGTGATTTAAACGGGTATCGTGGCTGTATTTTAAACCGTAAGTTTGCAGTGTTTCTGGTAGCTGTGATCATAGTAACAGTGTGTGTGTGTGTGTGTGTGTGCGCGCGCGTGTGTGTGTGTGTAAGCGCGCGCGTGTGTGCGTGTGTCCCCGCACAACACATTTTTTTTATATTTAATAGATTTTATACGAAAACAAGGAGCATCGCATGATGAACGCAGAAACGCTTTAAATTAATAAACACAAAATGTATAGACATATGTATTAATCAGCTAACTTTTTACAGTGTTTGTAGACCCCTATTTGAAAGATTATAGAATCACTATTTGATTCATGTTTATTATTGATCACAAGAGGCTGCAGTTCGTGAATAGTTCATGAAATACATAATTAAAAAAGGTTTATTCGTAGTCTGAAAATGTGTATGCTTAAAGGCACTATATCACACCACACCACAATACTATCAGCCCTCAGGGAAGCTACCATATAATTTATTCCCAAAATATTACGTATTTAGATTGAAATATTAAATTAAAAGTTCGAATGAATTAATGCAACGTTGCATTAAATCGACTCTCGCGCCCTCTACCGGCCGAACATTATTTCAAGCGAACCCCATAGAGTTATGTCCCTTGGAGCGCTCTTTGCGAATATCCTCCGCACGACTTGTGATAAGCTGGGCCCCGTCTCGCATGTCGCATAATACAAGCGTTCGAAATACCTGCGTGCCCGACCGCCCGGGACGGGTTATTTTCAACACGGACTGCCAGATTCCCAAATCAGGCCCTCCTATCTATTTGACTAAAAAGAAGCATTATTGGATGTAAAGTAAACTATAATGTGTGTTTAGCTACCACATGCGAAGGAATAGCATTAAATGTGTTGTGAATGCAGCAACTATCGCTGTAAAAGCGGTTGGCATCAGGCACTATACAGCCGCTATTGGAACCTAAAGCATCGGCAGCCGAAAACTTTCGGTCATCTCCGATAATTTCCGCGTTTCGCCGAACAACGCCAACACTTCCTGTCGTCACAGCGAGCGAAAAATGGCTGCCGACAGAGGAGAAGAGAAAGGGTAAGTGTTTCAATCAACGCTTAGCTCCACATACTGTAATTCTGATTTAGAAGGTAGTGTGCATTGAACGCATGTTATCATCCCCTTTGATAGCAATACTTCATCTTCGTAAAAATGTATTTTGTGTCCGTTATCTGCGTTTTTGTATGGAAGTCGAACGGATTTCAAGTTGAGGTCGGCGGAATGAGGCTACCAACCTCCTTCGCTTTGAATGAATTCTTATATGGCTTTTGAAAATTTATCGTGAGGGATTCAGTGAGGAGTAAAGTGAGACTCAGTGTGAATATGGTATTCGGGGTTACTACGGACGATGACGACTTGAGCAATATTTTCATTGACTGGCTACGTCGGAGAGACCGCAGTTGTATTTTGTCCCATACTTGTAACGTATTCATTTTAAAACTGGAAGTGAGTGCGAACAGTATGCATTTTATTCGTGTCTAGTTGTGATTGAACCTATATTACTTTGTGTAACAGATACACTTACCAGACCATCATGTTTGTTTTGAAATACACAGTCGCCGAGTGTGCTGGGATCTGGTGGGCGAGATGTCTGACAGTGTGACCTCCCTACTGTTGCCGAAACTCCGTCGACAGAGATTATACATGGAGTCTGACCAATACCAAAGTCTTCCAATGTGCCAGAGTCACCAGCTGTGATTTTCACAGAAAGAGGTAGATTATTGCCCTTCAGTTTCAGTTCTCTTTGTTTTTCGGATAAATTAGATTGTAAAGATATGTGACAAACATGACACACACATCCCTTTTCATTCCATGTTTAAAATATAACTCATAATAATTAGTTTTGAATAATATTTTTCTGAATTTATTTCATAATGTTATTCTCTTGGTTTGACACTTACAGGTCACAGTCTGCAGAAGTGTTCAAGACTTGAGCAACAAGATGACACAAGTTTCCTGGATGTGTCTCACTTAGATGAGACACCGATCAATCTTCCAGGATAGATGAGACATTGTTTGTTGCAGCAGAGACTGAGCACAAAACCATCTTTACAGTGTGGGACCTGAGGGAAGATTGTCAAGACCTAAGGCTCCTTGAACCTGCAAGTGAGGAGCCACACTAAAGATGTCAAATTCTCATGTGAATTGTCTGGGACGTTTTTCCTTATCAACCAAACGCTGAAGGAACATGTTGCTAAAAGTACACAAACAGACTGGTGTTGTCAAGTGCAAGGTTTGCAGTATAGTTACAACATTTTAGGGTATGGAGCAATACAAGTCTGCTCCATGATGAGCATGCACCCAAATACAGGTTGTGGTAAACTCATAACATAATCTGTCATGACATTTTTTTCATTGGTAGAATGAATGACCATGGCCAGTTGTCAGATCCCAAATCACGTAATTTGGAAACCGACTTATAATTGCCACGATAACCATACCGCCTTTGCTTATTTGAAGTTCATTTGTTTAGATTTAGTAATAGAATTTCCTCAAATCTCTTTTGCTGGTGTTAGAGATTGTAAATTCTTGTTGATGTTGGAAAATACTTGTGCATGCTTGTAATGTTTGTTCATGTGACTTTGTGTTTTGGAAGGATTCTTGGCTAACCAGGTTAGCTATATGATAATGGCAAAGATAACTAACAAATAACTGCAATGATATGTTTAATGTTGTTTTATCAACCATGTTAACTTGTAATAAAGATATATTTACAGCCATATATGAAGTCAAGTGTTTTATTCATTGACAAATCTGAATATGACTTTCTTTGTCCAATGATAATCAGTAGATAAAAATGTCTTATTTTCTGTTTACGTAAGACACAACATCACATCATGTCCAACTTTACAATTCCCATATTTACACATTATGAAAGTGCATATGTAAAAACATAGCAGATTCAACACTTGGACATCTGTTCATCACAGTGGGCAACAGAAAGACCAGCTCTTATTAGTCAGCTTCATCTTGCTTTCCTTGACTTTGTGGCAGCTCAAGACCAGGTTCATGCAGACTTGACATAACCTTCACGGTTTCCTCGCTTGCGATGAGCCTACTGGGGGCATGAAACAAGTGGTCCTGTAATAGGATTGAAGAACACTTTTAGTGGAATGCAATGTGTGTGTGTGTGTCAGTGTGTGTGTGAGTGAGTGAGGGGGCTTAACTTTGTGGAAGGAGAGGACCAACATTATTATACTTGAAAATATCACACCAAGACCTCTGCAAGATAGCAATCAGTTGAAAATTCAGATGATCAAATAGTTAAACCTGTGGAATCACACTGTAAACCATGGCACACTGATCAGTTAGTCATCTAAACAATAAGCTACCACACTGCTAGATTCTACATATTTAATAATGCTATTAATAGTAAAAGTAATGGTAAACAAAACTGTCAGCCAGTGTTTGTTAGAAAATGCCATTAGTTAAACATATATAACTTTTAAATGTCAAACACAACACCAGCCTTCCTAGTGCGGTGTGGGACTTACCTGGTTGGATCTTGTCTTACAATGCTCTCCCCACAAATTTTGGACGTGTTGACATGTAAAACCCACTGGAGGGAAGTGGACAAATCAGCCAGTGACAGAAGGAATTTCTTGAACCTGTAACAATAAGAAATATAGCAATTTCATGAAGTTAAGAGAGTTAGCGTTTAATCAGCCGTAGCTTTCATTATGGATGTTGTTCATATTCCAATGATCTGTAGTCCACAGAGGAAATTCTAAATCAACTCACCTATCTACCCATATGTATCATCCTGCATCTGTCAATAGCTGATATCCCTGGGTCATCACACGCCTTGAACCACTCACGAACCTGAAATGTGTTTAATATCTGTATACCAAGAGTCCAATTTCAACCAATTAACATGTTAATCAACATTGAGATACCAAATGCATGATCATCATATATTCTAATGCAAGTTACACCTGACTACCTATGAAATAAGTTACATATTTGCGCAATTGATCATGCACACCTGTTAAGTAATTCAGAATTAAAATCAACAACATATCCCTTTTATCAAGTTGTCAGCTGAAAACAGCCATAAACCAACATTCCCGATATTCACAGTAATTTCACTTGGCACAACTGTACTCGAGATCTAAACAAGAACACATTCACTACTACATATCTTAGACACAACATGCTAACACTGAAAAATAAACTGGTACCAATGTGCGATTTGGAGAAATCATACCCGCCTCTCAAATTCACCTGCGCGACGGTCGGGTTAAAATGTAGACATGTATATAATAGAATTTTTTGTGGGCAGGCAAGTTTTGATCAGGGTTGGCAAGTTTTACATCTAACCAGCCCTGTGCTGACATTTTTGGGAGTTTCATACACAGGGGTTCGAATCTCTGTTAAAAATAAATATCTAGACTTTTGCAGTCGCATATTGGTTTTATATGTTATCATTAGCATATATTCCAAATTTGAACGAAATCGGTGAAGAAATGGGGGTTTTTGTAGAAAATTCTACCGCTACACTCGTTACATATTTTACTGCGACAATTATCGATGTACAGGGCAATTTTTTACATTCCATATATGGCAAGTGTTCTCTCTTTGGAAGCTGTTCGCCTCGAAGTTTCAATTATCGATTTCAGGCAAGTCGTAAGGGATAATAAGTCTTTTATTGCAACAATAGGAAGGCCACAATATTGTCGAAAATGTGTGCCATTAAAGTTATCACTGTCATCAGAAACACAAAACTAGTAGTAAGAGTTAATCCGACGTTATACATAATCAAACTTGGTGCTGTATGAAGAAGATTATTCCTATTATTGTAAATAAATTCTGTAGACATCTTTTAAAAATATAAAGTAACTTACTTCCAAGTGTGGATATTATAGCCGTGGCCTCCTCTGTCCCGTTGTCGGTAGTGGAAGTAGTAGCAGTTTCTGTAGTTGCCATCGTTCTGCTTTCTTCCGTCGATGTAGTGGAACTACCTAATGTATATAAGAAATATTTGACAAAGGAAAATTCATCATGACGTGATATTTAAGAAGCCTTATAATGATTGGCGTTACTCGCAACGTTAGACCTATTTACACTTACATACCTGATGATGTAGTCAGATCTGTTGATTGTGACATTGATGATCTGGTAGAAGTGGTCTTGAGAATCGTTGTTGTTGACGTCATCGATGGAGATAACGTCGATCTGGTAGAAGTGGTTTTCTGGAAGAAAAGATTTAATAAAGAAAAGATTATTAATATTATCTTTTCAATAGGGATCGGTTCCATTGATAGGGAAATCTCATGATCACTTTCATCGTTAAAGCATTAACGTGGTTTTCTTTAGCTACGTGGTGTTTCTGTGCTAATGACGCAGTGATACGGTACTTACCATGGGGCAGCGTATACGGTTGATAAACACATTCATGAAACTGGGACGGATTATTTCGTGACATTGAACGGCACTAGATTCCAGGAAAATTGCACGCAAATTGGGAAATGACTTCTGATCTACGACGAATGGCTGGTGCCAGTATTGTGCAGTCACCCGCACAATATCCGGGTGACTGACGTCATCCACCAAGTCCTGACTCTTTGCCCCAAAACAGATCAATTCTCCATCACTCGCATAGCAACGACGAATTGCTCCGTGACACACCGCTAACATCATCATTGACATCAGCATCATTCTCAGTACCATCATCATCATCATCACCATCATCATCATCATCATTGTGCTCGCTCTGAGAGAGAACTACAATTACCGACAGAACCCCGACCCACACATGCTGTGTGTACATCCACTTAACCTCATATGGAGGTATCATCACTGACCACTGACCCTACGTCCTCGTTATACCGTTCACCAGTGGTATAATCCCTTGATTGTTACTATTTCGTTTCAATTCAATATGTATTTCTTTGCATAGACAAATTTCCAGAACTATAACTACCTGGATAGCAGATAAAGCCAATAGTTAGATCAATGTACGTGTTAATCTAATAACGAGGTGTCTTGTAACAAAATACATTCCGACAATCAGTCTCAGGTTCGCGTTATGGAGCTATAATAAGGGATTAAATGTTAAAAGGTTACATTTGGATTTTGTAAAAGGTTGTTAGGGGTTAAGAAATCAACATGTAATTCGATGTTTTACGCAGAGTTAGGTGGTTATCCGCTTTTATGTAAGAGGAAATATAATATGATGAAATATTGGTGTAAGCTTCTTGTGTCCGATAATAGTATTTGACGGGGTTGTTATGAATATTTGTATGAGGAGGTGGAGACTCGTGGTGTTAAGAATTGGGCATATCAAGTGAAATGTATTTTGTCAAGCATTGGTTTCAGTAAAATATGGTTAAGGCAGAAGTTATGAAGATATTATTTATCAGTTATTTAACAAAGGATTAATGATCAGGCTATACACTTTATTTTTAGTCAGTTGTCGAAATTTATGATTTATAAAATGTTATCAATCAATGTTCGATTCAATATTATTGACGATTCCATATCTCTATAAGAAGTATTTATCTAAATTCACACTCAGCTCCCACATCTTAACGGTAGAAACTGGTAGATACCAAAACATAAATCTTGCTAATCGTAAATGTTTAATGTGTTAAAGATGATATTGAAGATGACTAATTGCATTTTATATTGAAATGTCCATCATATTATAATTATTGAATAATGTATATCAAACCACATTATTACAAATGTCCATCAGTATTTAAGCTTATTCAACCTCTTAGTATTAACAATGCTAGAGAATTATGTAACTTAGGCAAATATTTATATAAGGATAGTATATCAAGAAATGAGTTAATTAGTACTTAATTGTACATTCTCCTTTGTAATTCCATTGTACCCGTGAAGATCCGGGTTAGAATATTGATCTTCAGTAACCCATGCTTGTCATAAGAGGCGACTGACGGGATCGGGTGGTCAGTCTTGTTAACTTGGTTGACACATGTCATCGGTTCCCAATTGCGTAGATCGATGCTCATGTTGTTGATCACTGGATTGTCTGGTCCAGACTTCTGGTCCAGACTCGATTATTTACAGACCGCAGCCATATAGGTGGAATATTGCTGAGTGCTCACTATAATTCCATTGTCACCATCTTTAAAAAAACAAAACCTGTACCAATACCGCTACTTGACATACCAATTGTCAGTACAGACAAAGGTAATAAAGGAATTGAATACTGATCACCAGTGGTGTCAGAACAATGCACGTGTTAACCTTATAACGAGGTGAGTGAGTGAGTTTAGTTTTACGCCGCACTCAGCAATCTTTCAACTATATGGCAGCGGTCTGTAAATAATCGAGTCTGGACCAGACAATCCAGTGATCAATAGCATGAGCCCTCGATCCGCGCAATTGGGAACCGATGAAATGTGTCAACCAAGTCAGCGAGCCTGACCACCAGATCCTGTTAGTCGCCTCTTACGACAAGCATGGGTTACTTATAACGAGACGCCGAGGCAGCAAAATGCGATACGCTCGCGTCTTTATCTGTGTACAGTCCAATATTGTAACGAGTTATGACGAAACGTTACAGTATGTGTTTGGAAAACAATCTTTTTACGTTGTTCTCGATTTAGTACTTGAACTTAATTATCCCACTATCAAAGATGAAACGTAGCAGGAATGTTCTCATAAATGTTGACATCTGAATTTATCTACATCATCTTGATACTAGAGTCGATACGTCCGTCATGGCGGTCACATTGAAAAAGCTTTACGTCGCGATTTGATACTTGCTTTTACTGCTGTTAAGCTGAAAATGAATAGATGAACGTATACCACCGGATTAAATACCCTAGGTGCTCTCAATCATTATATGTACGCTTTATGGCAAGGGGGGTTGTGGTTTTAGAAACTGGTTTAAACGCTCTTAAAATCATTGCATTGCGCATAGTTTTCTACTGGAGTTCAACATTGTCGTTAAATGCCGCACTCAGCACGATTTCACGTGTATGACATCTGTCTGAAATAATCGGTTCTAGATCAGATGATCCTGTGATTGATATCATGAGCATCGATTTACATATGATCTAAACGATACATTTATTCGAGATTATTGTTTTTGTTTTTTACCCTGATAGTTTGACAGTTTGAAATAATTACCCTTATGAGTTGTGAAAGTACAGAAAGGCCAAATGAGTGAGTGAGTGACTTAGTTTTACGCCGCACTCAGCAAGATTCCACCTATATGGCGGCGGTCTGTAAATAATCGAGTCTGGACCAGACAATCCAGTGATCAACAGCATGAGCATCGATCTGCTCAATTGGGAACCGATGACATGTGTCAACCAAGTCAGCGAGCCTGACCACCCGATCTCGTTAGTCGCCTCTTACGACAAGCATGGGTTACATCGTAAACGTTGCGCACAATGAAATTGTCTCATGACTGGCCCTGTGTATGGTCTGCGAGCTCGGATACCTGAGGTCTGCATTCAATTCCTGGTGGTCTGTGTTGACGGTCGTCCTCTGAACAACTGTCTGCTAATGAAGGTTGCAATCACAAATCTGTTGCTGAGATGACGCACCTCATTTGTACGTCATCTTAGTGTGACGTCACAGGCAGCGCCCAAGGTCATGATGATCTGCAAAGGTGCCCGACTGTTCCACAGTGTATTATTTATCATGTCAAACGGCAACCGCCGAGAGCTCCTGCGACTGCTGCAAAGGATGTAATTGTCCAGCATTAAGATTACCCAAGACACGCTCACATTTTTGGGGGGTGGGGGCGTGAATGCAATGTCTGTTAGCTCGCATTCATATGCACGTGTGATTGTTGAGGTGATCACGTGACTCACTTCACGTGATTATTGTGTTCCACGCTTTATGACCAAATTGTTTCACATCTGTCGCCAATACCATGTTCAAACAGCCCACAATGAGAAACTAACCCGAATTACCCCGCTTACAATTACGACCAATAAAATGGGTGTCAAGTTTCAAATATCAGTATATCATATATGGAGGTAGAAGTATCATCTTCGTAGATGAAAGTATCTCCTACGTTTTGATATTTTTTTACACTGTGGCACTAACATGCTTCAGTACTCGACAGCGCCATAAGCTCAACTAGTGACCTTCACACTGATGTATTTTACGTCACTACGCTTTGTGTAACGTTACTCGACCTACCGTTTAACAAGAGAGGGGATTATCATGTAGGCGACATCCCTTGCTAGCTGTAACAGTCTCAGACAGGTGCTCGGCAAGATGTCCCCCCAGCCTGCAGGGAACAATCACATCTATTGTGTATGATGTGCTGTGTTCATAAATGATACCTACTTGAGATATATTTGGGCTTACAGAATGCAGATGACATCAGTGATAGGTAGCCATGACATGTAGTCTGTCTTGACTAACATTGTGTTTCAAAATGAGATGAACTATTTTGTATCATCCTGTCAGCCTAGACGTTGCTGTACGTATAACCACAACCAGAACGACATAGTGTCCACAGTACCTGAGTAATTTAGGCGTAATTCCGACCAGACAGTATTTTGCAGGTGAACTCTTCTCACCTGAAACTTGTTGAGTTGGGTACTTATTTGTCTGTCACAGTAAAGAAAAGTGCACACATCGTCAGTTATCAGGTGATTAGATCTCCGTTTCATTGTGTTAAATACCATGGACGCATTTGCTGCAATAATGTTGTTCCAGATATGACGTCACTTGTTCACATCGGACCAGAAACGGATCTGTCTAGCCCACGAGCCGAAAATATATGGCGACTGAAGACCAGTTTTGTTAAAAAAAACGTATACCCCACAAAATAAAACCGACCGACCAACCGACCGACCGACCGACCGACAAACAAACAACACAACAAAACAAAACACAATACAACACAAACAACAACAACCCCAAAAAAAAAATAATAAAAAAAAAAAATATATATATATATACACACCCCAAATCCTCAAAACAAACCCTGCTAAACGTAAGATGTTTCAAATGATCTTTCCTACTTTCGCAATATAAATCCCTTCCAGATGTGGCTTGCAACTTGACACAAAGCCAGTGTCTGTACGTACCTTAAAATCATAGACTATGAAGTAGAACGTAAACGGTGGTGTTACTGTGCTCTGCACGTGACTTAAGATGTGGTAAATATGTCCTGAAACATGACCACAATAGCAAATGTGAGTTCTGTGACAATGACTCGACACCACTGAGGTTGCAGTACGTTTTTCAG